ACTATGCCCCCAATGTTTCGGAATGGACAAAAGGCATCATACCTAATGACTTCACCTGTGGCAGATCAGCTGCAGATTTGGGATTGTCCTGGCACAGGTCTAAAGTAGTTTTTAATTATTTATTTATTTTAAGCAACTGGGGGCCCAGCAATCTAAATGTATTAAGGAACACTGTGATATTAACAATAAATATATTTTAAAATATTTTTAAAGTTACAGTGTTCCTTTGCTGTGAAATATCATATATAATTTGTAAACCGTGCATTTTCATTATTTAATTTATACCCAGTGTTCTGTGTGATAATGATAACTGGATAACAGTCTGGGAAGCTAAGTCATAGAAAAATATATAACACCTTTTTTTATATAAAGGAATACAATAAAACTCTGGATGGTTGAAACAGAACATAATGAAATCCAGACTGGGGACAGGTGTTAGATTAGATTACTCTGTAGTGCAATCGCACGTAGAAATTGAAAAAGTAGAATACTTGAAATGGCCTGGATTTACAGACTATACACAGAAATGTAAGTAAGTAAATGTTAACACACACACACACACACACACACTTTTTTGTCAATCTTTATTTTCGGTATGCATGAGAATACATATGAGCGTGCAGAGTCACGACAACTGCTGCATGCAAGGTAAAATATGAAATATGGTAACATTAACATGACAGAGATAACTTATATATTTTTTTAATAAAGGCTATAACACGATGAACAACATGTCAGACAGGTGGCAAGACCTAAAATAATTCTGAGTAAGCATTCGGACAATGTGCTAGTGATAAAAAATAAACTATGCTAGGCAAGCTGATTGAGTTGTAGCTTGTACCACTGTGGTCATATATACTATTCGAGTGACAAGCAAATTTTGTAGAAATTATGGTGCTGCACTGCATAATTTAAGATATGCGGATGCAAGAAAATGCCGGCAGGGTTGTGATGGTACGAGCCATAACTGGTAATTAGTCCTGGACATAAGGTTCAGCTTTAGCCAAACCCCTCAGACTCAGGAATGGGTGGAGGTAAGTCGAGAGGCCCTGCAGGATAGGGGCAAAACATGGCAACCATCCAGCCCCAGGATGTGACGTATTGGCTCTCAGCCCAGGCGGGCCAAGGATGAGAGGCTTGGTTGCTTGCAAGGCAATTGTGCCCACGGTTTAGAGGGGGGTGGAGGTGGGGGGGAAGGGGCATGCGCACCTCCGTGGCACATTGAAACGCAGTATGCGCCATCTTGGCTTAGACCCCGCACACAACTGTTTTTTGTTTGTTTTTTTAACCCCTGCACTGACATTCAGTGTATAAGACGAACCCCAATTTTAGAGTAAAAAGATTTAGAAAAAAAGTCTTATACATGGAAAAACACTGCGTATGTATATATATATATATGAATAATCTGAGTATGTGTGATGTTGCTAGACTTACAAAACATTAGCATGCCTAATGTTATCACATGACACAACATTACTCTGCCACCCACCAGGTTGATGAAGAGTTAAACCACCACGTGAGAGGCCCTTCCACTGCAGAAGTAAATGTTCTATACAGATGATAAAGCATCCTGTAATTCTCCTCGTCTGGGAATTGAACAGTAGTTCCATTAAGTTTCAGAAAAAAAAAGATGTAATTAGGTTGGGAGATTTGGGATGTTAACATGTATCTGGGGACTCTTAGTACAGTTTCAAACAAACAGTAAGATGTTATTTTTGCAAATTGCATTGCATGCTTCTATTTATGCCTTAGATTTACAGTGTTCATGCAAATTTGACATTGAACTTGAAACAAAAGGCAGTTTTCATTAAACTAAATCCACATTCATTGTTCATGTTTATAAGTCAGTAATACTCTTAGAGGGCACTACACCGTAGAGGACACTACATTGATTTCTGGTTTGCAATAAGTTAGTGGAAACCTAGTAAGTATTTTTTCTTCTACATATTAGCGTAATGTTTACCAATGTTGTTCCGAGGAACCGCAGAGAACAAAACCAAAATGGCAACCATGATTTGCTCATCGGGTATTATCGCTGAACAGGGGCCCAGTCGGGTGCGGCAGCCCTTTAAGAGCACGACCGGGCCCCTGTATTATCGGCCAGCTAGGAGGAAGTGACAACAGATCACTTACACACAGAGTACCACCATGCGAATGGAGTTGGAGGTAGAGGCTGGATGTGGTCGTTCAGGCAGGATATATTTGTGTCTCTGTGCGTTTATGTGTCAGTGTGTATATGAATGTGTGTGTATGTGTCACTGTGTTTATATTTGTGTATCTGTGTGTTAATGTGTATGCATATCTGTAAAAGTATGTATGTTTGTAGCAGTGTATGTGCTGTGGCAGAATGGCCAGGCTCTTGACAATAAACTTCAAATGCAAGCTTTAGGATAAAATAGTACTGCAGTTTATTTGCACTTTCCACAATTTATACAATGCTGTGCTTCACATGAATAAATCACCATCAACCCCTCTACCTCAACATCACCCCCCCCTCAACATCACCCCCTTCCCTCTCACATCATCCCCCCTCTCACTCTCACATATCCCCCCTCCCTCAAACCATCACCCCTCTCACCATCACCCCCACACCCTCCTCACCACCCCACTTCCACCCACACCCTCCCTCCCATCACCCCACACCATTACCCCCTCACCATCACCCTCTCATCATCACCCCTCTCTCACCATCACCCCCTCCCTCCATCTCATCATCAACTCCCTCCCTCTCATCATTACCCCCTCCCTCACACCTCTTACACACACAGTACCACCCCCCTCACTCACACAACCTCCCCAAACACACTGTTAGCATTCCTTCACATTGTCACCTCCCCACACATTGTCACCCCTCCCTACACTGTCATCACCCCCAGGGGTGTATTTACCCCGAGGCAATCAAGGCATTTGCCTTGGGCGGCACTTTTTGGGGGGCGGCTTTTTTTTTTTGGCAAATGCCTTGCTAGCCTCTTGTCCTGCGGGGCCCAGGAGCTGGCCGGGTGGCCACCTCAGGGTCCCGCAGGCTGGCAGCGGCGGCACTTTCCGGGCGGGTGGCGAGGGAGCACTAATCCTCCTGTTCAGCTCACCGCAGCGATGCTGGAGCCGGAATATGATGTCATCACTATGTGGCGCACAGGGAGCTGAGCAGAGAGCTCAGGGGAAAGTGCTCCCTCGCTGACAGCACTGATTGCCCGCCCGCCCAGCAGCCTCACTGGACCCCAGGGAACGTGTTAATCCACCCCAGCACTCCCAAAGGTAAGGAGGCGGTGGGGATTGAATTTAAAAAAAAAAAAGTGAGTGTGTTAAAGTGTGTCTGTTAGTGAGTGTGTGTCTGTGAGTGAGTGTCTGTCTGTTAGGGAGTGAGTGTGTGTGTGTCTGTTAGTGTGTGTGTCTGTGGGTTAGTGAGTGTTCATCTGTTAGTGAGTGTGTGTCTGTTAGTGTGTGTGTCTGTCCCCTTGCTCAGCCCTGTCCTCCTTGTCCTGTTCCCTTGCTCAGCCCCTGTCTCGCTTCCCCTGTCCCTATCCTGAGCCCCTGTCTCCTTGCTCAGCCCCTGTCCCTTTGCTCAGCCCTGTCCTCTTCTTCAGCCCGTCCCCCTTCCTCAGCCCCTGTTCCCCTTCCTCCTTTGCTCAGCCCCTGTCCCCTTGCTCAGCCCTGCCCCCTTTCTTCTGCCCTGTCCCCTTCCTCAGCCCTGTCCCCCTTCCTCAGCCCCTATCGCCTTACTCAGCAACTATCCCCCTTCCTCCTTTGCTCAGCCCCTGTCCCCTTGCTCAGCCCTGCCCCCCCTTCTTCTGTCCCTTTCCTCTGCCCTGTCCCTTTCCTCAACCCCTGCCCCTTCCTCAGCCCTGTTCCCCTTCCTCTGCACCTATCCCCTTCTTCAGCCCCTGTTCCCCTTCCTCCTTTGCTCAGCTCCTGTCCCCTTACTCAGCCATGTCCCCCCCTCCCAGCTCCTGTCCCCCCACCACAGCCCCCATAACATCCCCACTACAGCTCCTCTCCCCCAGTTGCAATCCATATCACCCTCACCACAGCCCCTTTCCCAAATTGTAGCAATTAACCTACTTCAGCCCCTACCCCTCCACTACATTTCCTAACCCCCACTTGCAGCTCATATCCTCCACTACAGCCCCTGTCCCCACACTACAGCCCCTACCCCCCTACTATAGCCCTGTCCCCTTACTCAGCCCCTGTCCACGGGCATTAAAAGTGTAAAGTTTGTGTGTATGAGTATGTCTCTGTGTGTAAGTATGTCTGTCTGTGTGTGTGCCAGTATGTCTGTGTGTGTGTCAGTATGTCTGTTTATGTGAGTCAGTATGCCTGTAACAGTGTGTCTGTCAGTGAGTGTCAAATCAGCAGGTGTGTGTGTGTGCCTGTCAGTGAGTGTCTGTTTAGGTGACTGCGCCCCCCTGTTTAGGTGTTTTTTCTCTCCTCTTGGTGCAATGGGCCACTTGACTGGATTTGCCCCCTAAGCCTAAGGCTACAGCCCTGATGCCCCTATTATCTAGTTTTCAAATTACTCATCTTTTTTTTTCCCAGTGCCTAGTCTCCTTCTGTGACCTCTTCTTCGGGTTGTGTAATCCTTGAGGCATGTTGTGAGCATTGGGGGACCACAACATTGAATACAGTGATTCTCTATGCCTTATGACAGCGCAGTGCATGCATGTGTGAGTGACACTGTCATTATATGAGTTCCCTCATTAAGCAGTCTTATTAGAGAACTAAAGGGGTTTGGGATGTAGGAAATAGGGGAGGGCAGGACTGCAGGCACTATAACAACTTCTATAAAATGAAGTTATTAAAGTGCCTACAGTGTACCTTTAATTAAAACACCAGCAGGTCTCTGTAATAATTTGTGAATAGCAGAGATAAGCTGACAGTCATACACAGCAGCAATGTCTATATTTTGGAGAAAGATCTACACAGTGCACAGAAGCCTGTATTGGGTATTATGCAATCATCGCGCTGAGTCTCACTCCCTTATGTTTCCTCACTCACTTCTATCTCTGCGATATTTCGCATGCTGAGGTGTTTTGACCCTGGCGGACACTGTAGTCTCAAACTGTCATGGCGGCCTCCAGCAGAGGCATGACTTCTGACTCCCTGTACCATTCCGAGTACATGGCCGGTACCAAGTCCGCTACTGTTGACCGTGGCCTGGTAAGTCTCGTATATACTTTTCCAGCTGCTAGCACTAGGCTAGTATGAAAGACTTCTTATTAACAGTAGTGAGCTTCCCTCTCCATGGTGGGAGACCAGAGATCATACCCATAAAGAAAGAAGAACCTGTTATTTAATATTTTGTGTGGTCACAGCTGCAGTCTTCCATCAGATAATTAGTGGAAATCCCTAACAGGTTCAGATGTCAGTTCATTCTCAATTAACTGCTTATTAAAACATTATGAGCCATTCCAGGGTTTCCCTCTTGCCATATTGCAGTGAATAATCCCATCGCTAATTTGATTGGTATACTGATTTAAAGTATTTTACATGATTTAGATCTCATAATAAAATACTATGAAAATAGAAAGTTAGCAAAGTTACGTGCTTTCAGTGACTTTGCAGTATGTCTCTTCTATTGCATCATGTTTGGTATTTTGCTCTCTGGATTGCATAGCACTTAACATGTCTTTTCTCTCTCTTCTAAACATTCAGACAATAACTCTGAAACAATTGGCACAGTCATTTCTTAAGTGGCCTGACCGATTCTGATTGTAATTAGAACCTAATCAGTGAGTTAAGATAAATTTAGAGAACATGGTAATGTTAAAACTATATTTTAATGTTAATACATTTTTAATGTTAGTGTTCCTTTTTAGATGACTCGACTCCTTTAAAAAAAAAAAAAAAAAAGCCATAAAACTTAATGTGTTCTACCACCATGCCATGATAGTTTCCTATCTACAGCATCTTTGTCTTCAGTGAAATAGTCAATTCTGATTACTTTGTCCTGTCACTTCTTATAACTGGGGACAGAGGAGGCATGCACGACTATCTACAAGCTCTGCCAGTCTAATGCTTCCCAATGAGAAGCATGGGTATGTAGCGCAGCTGAAATAGGTCTTAAAGGAATACTCCAAGCACCATAAGGCTGGCACAGCCCTTTGCTTGCAGCCAATAAGCTAAGCTCTGCTCTGCTGGGCTTAGCTCAGAGCAAGGTACTTCCGGCTGCAAAGTGGCAGAGTGTGGCCCCTGGAAGTCTTTAGGTAAGAAGTCAAATTATCAGAAAACCTAGTGTGCGTTCAAATTCTGAAATCATGAGCTAACGTAAGACAGGACTCGACAAATCCCAGGTCGCCATGACGACCAGGAAATTTTCTCCTGGCGCATGGTATTTGTGAGCTTGTTCAGCCCCCGAGGTCACCGTTTGCCTGAGAGCAGAGGCAGGCAGTCGTATCACGGAGGGCTGAGGCAGGCTGCTAACTGAATGAGGTGGCCGTCTCATTGAGAGGTGAGGAAGGCCGGCTCATGTATTGCTGAGGGAGGGGGGTGACCGGCATTAAAGGACCACTATAGTGCCCTGAGGGTGCCCCCTCCCGCCCGGCTCTGGAAGGGGGAAAGGGGTTAAAACTTACCTTTTTCCAGCGCTGGGCGGGGAGCTCTCCGCCTCCGATCCTCCTCCTCTTCTCCCCGACGGCTGAATGCGCACGCGCATTCAGCCGGTCGCATAGGAAAGCATTATCAATGCTTTCCTATGGACGCTTGCATGCTCTCACTGTGATTTTCACAGTGAGAATCACGCAAGCGCCTCTAGCGGCTGTCAATGAGACAGCCGCTAGAGGCTTTGGGGGAAGGCTTAACCCATTCATAAACATAGCAGTTTCTCTGAAACTGCTATGTTTATAAAAGAAGGGGTTAAGCCTAGCTGGACCTGGCACCCAGACCACTTCATTAAGCTGAAGTGGTCTGGGTGCCTAGAGTGGTCCTTTTGAGAGCTGTGAGAGCGAGTGGAGCGGCTGACAGAGGGAGTGGAGTGACCGGCTCATGTATTGCTGAGGGAGGGGGGCGGGTGGCCCATGGAGAGCAGAGGGAGGGGGGGGGTGGACAGGTGATTTAATGCCGCGGCGAGAGAGCTGTAATCTCCCTACTCACCTCCCTCGCTCGGCTTGAAGTGATGCCAGGTTATGATGTCATCCCGGCTCACTAAACAGTGCGCGAGAGGGAGGTAAGTAGGGAGATTACAGCAGCCCCACTGGACCCCAGGGAATACCTATCCACTCCAGCTCTCCAGAAGTAAGGAGGCTGGGTGGATTTAAATTAGGTAATTACTTTGTGAGTGTGTCTGTATGTCTGTTAGTATGTGCCTGTGTGTGTGTGTGTGTGTGTCTAACTGTGAGTGTGTTTTCTCTCCAATCACATGGGAAAGGTGTTTTTACTCACCTTATTTCCCCCACGCCGTGCTGGTGACTTGACTAGGAAAGCATTGGAAGACTATTGCGCATGCACGGCAAAATGTCACTGCGCCAATTGAACTTCTCATAGAGGTGCATTGAATCAATTCATCTCTATAGGGAACTGAACCACGAACCACCTCTACAGGTCGTCTGAGTGACTGTCGCTAGAGGTGTTACCTGGCAGCAATGTAAACACTGCCTTTTGTCTGAAAAGCGTTCAGGGGCAGGATATAGATTTCAGAACAACTACATTAAGCTGTAGTGGTTCTGGTGACTATAATGTTCCTTTAAGAATTGTATTTTTGGGGCGGATTTCTCTGGCTCCTAACTTTTTCTAGCTGTCTCCAAGATTCCAAGCAAATTTGTCAAGCCATGACATAAGACATCTCAAAAACATACTATGGGACAGTTTGAGACCTTTCAATCGTGCGTGGTGTTAGTAAACCAAAGAAATAACCAGACGTGTTGGTAGACCAAAGAGGTGCTTTGGACAAAGATGACTAATAATGGCACACCGCGGAGACCAACGAGACAGAGGCAATACTACATGCAAGTTGGATTTTTTTTTTTTTTTTTTTTTACATTTATCTCTTAAACAAGTAAAGTGATTTTTGTCTTAAGTATAACGATTTTATTGTGTTGGAAAATGAATTAGCATATCAGTTGTATAGCCCTCCTGTTTGTCAGCCTTTTAATTATTTAAAGCAGGGTTTCCAAACCCAGTCCTCAAGTACGCCCTACCAGGCTAGGATTTAGGGATTACCCCGTTGTGTTTTAAGATATTTTTTTCTTCTCTAACAACACCTTAGGCACAACTGGTTAATCCCTAAATCCTGGACTGTTAGGGGTTAATTGAGGACTGGTTTGGGAACCACTGATTTAAAGAGACACTATAGTTGTATAAATGCAAAGCTATATTCCAAACACTAGAGTGTCCAAAGAACCTGTGCCCCTCTCCCCTCCTGCAGCACTCAAAGGGTTTAAAGAAAAGAAAAAAAAAAAAACCTTTAACACTCATATTATTCCAGCGTCGTGCCACTTGAAGGAATAGGCTAAAATGGGTTCGGGAGTCTGATGGTAGTCACCATCACTGGTGATAGAAAATACATCCTATGTGTGGGTCCCCAGATTACTCTTGTGTTTTGGTCACCCTTGGTATTGGTGCAGGGAATGTAGAATTAATTGCTTGTCTGTTCATTTCCCCTCCCCCTTTTTCGTGTCTAATGAACTGTCGAATGCATTAATTACAGGGAAGGTCAAACTTCATCGGTGATTGTGCCATTCTGTAGGCGATTTTAGTTCCATGAGTTTGACGGCACACACCGCTGACTGCATTTGAATGAATCAAAATGACCGCCGCCACGTGTTCGGTTTTCTAATGGCGTCCACTTCAACTACTTCGGCTGCATCCGAAGGGCCATGCCAAAACTGCAGGTCCTTTCCCAAAGTACTTAAAGGGCCAGAAACAGCACAATAAAATACAATATGCCCAAATACTGTATTTAAAGGGCCAGATCTTCCAGGGACCATAATCACATGGCAAGAGACTGGCAATCAGTCTTCTCCAATGCCTAGTGGCAATGTCAGTTTCGCCACACACGTTATTTAGGAAGGATAAGAAAAACAAGAAGGGTGGTGGGGTATGTTTGTATGTAAACCATGAGTTAAAGTCAAATTTTAGGCATGTGGAGTGTGACGAGGAAAATGTGGAAGCTTTATGGGTAGATATCTGCTTGGGGCAAACAAAGGGAAATCAATTATTGGTTGGGATATGTTATAAACCACCTAATGAAAATATTAATGAGTAAGAACAGCTGTAAGAGCAAATTGGAAAAGCTGCAAATCGGGGTAGCACGTTACTTATTGGAGATTTTAATTACCCGGACATAAATTGGGATAGAGTGACTAGAACTTCAGCAATTGGAATCAGGTTTTTGAATGTGTTAAATGACACCTTTATGTCACAACTGGTACAAGCACCAACTAGAAAGGATGCTTGTCTGGATCTCGTTATAACAAACAATGCTGATCTCTTGACCAACATTCAAGTAGGGGAGCATTTGGGAAATAGTGATCACAATATGGTAGTTTTTTTTTAAAATAAACGCAAAAAAGCAAAAGCACTATTCTAAAACGTATAATTTTTAAAAAGCCAATTTCAATAAGATTAGGGCAGCTCTACAACATATCGACTGGCATAAACTCCTTAGTGAAAAAAAATATTGAGGATAAATGGAAACTATTTAAACAAATATTAGAAAGGTACATTTCTCACTATGTACCATTGGGTAATACATATAAAAGAAACAAACTGAAACCAATGTGGCTTAGTACCGTGTTTTCCCGAAAATACACCCTACCCAGAAAATAAGCCCTAGCTGGATTATCGGGGTGGGCTGCAATATAAGCCTACCCTGAAAATAAGACCTAGCCGCCGGCCCTTTAAATGCCACAGCCGACTGAGCGCTCTATAGAGAGCGCTCAGACGGCTGCAGCACTGCCTCACCTCCCCTTCCCTGTAGCGTGGCCGAGCTCCTCTCCGGTCCGCGACCCGGCCGGTCTGACAGGAAGTGCGCACTGGGTCCGGCCGGGTCGCAGACCGGAGAGGAGCTCGGCCACGCTACAGGGAAGAGCCAGGTGAGGAGAAGATTGGGAGGGGAGTAATATAGGGAGGGGGGGGGAGTATTACAGGGAGGGGGGGAGTATTGGGAGGAGGGAGTGGGGGAGAGTATTACTATATGAGGGAGGGAGGGGAGAATATTACAGGGAGGGAGGGGGGAGAGTATTACAGGGAGGCAGGGGGGGATAATATTACAGGGAGGGAGGGGGAGATAATATTACAGGGAGGGAGGGGAGAGTATTACAGGGAGGGAGGGGAGAATATTACAGGGAGGGAGGGGGGAGAGTATTACAGGGAGGGAGGGGAGAATATTACAGGGAGGGAGGGGGAGAGTATTACAGGGAGGGGGGGAGAGTATTACAGGGGAGGGGGAGAGTATTACAGGAGGGGGGGAGAGTATTACAGGGAGTGGGGAGATTACAGAGGAAGGGAGGGGGAGAGTATACAGGGAGGGGAGGGGGGAGAGTATACAGGAGGGAGGGGGGAGTATTACAGGGAGGGAGGGGGGGAGAGTATTACAGGGAGGAGGGAGGGGGGAGAGTATTACAGGGAGGGAGGGAGGGGGAGGTGAGGGTCTCTGGGGGGGTTACACAGCGCAGACACCGGCTGACAGACTGGCTCTAAGCCCTACCCTGAAAATAAGCCCTAGTGTGTTTTTTTTGTGACTAAAATTAATATAAGACCCGGTCTTATTTTCGGAGAAACACAGTAGAGAATTAAAACATTTTAAAAGGGCGTTTAAATCGGACAAATCAGAGGCATCATATATAAGATATAAGGAAGCCAATAATGCTTGCAAAAGGGCAATTAAAGTGGCTAAACTAGAAAATGACAAATTGATAGCCAAAGAATGCAAAACCAACCCCCATCAATTCTAAAACAGTTTAAAAAAATTTAAAGTGTAGGTACACTGGAAACAGAGATGGGTCTGTTAGCTGATGAAGACCAGGAAAAGGCAGAAATTTTAAATAATTGATTTCTTCAGTATATATTAATGAGGATCCTATAGCAAGAGATCTGCAAAAAACTTGCAGATAACTTGTGATTGGATAAGGTGCTACAGCTGTTAAAGAAAATTCATGTAAATAAAGCTCTGGGGCCTGACGGTATTCACCCACGAGTACTTAAGGAGCTAAGTGGGGAAAAAAGTGAACCTCTGTATTTAATTTTTCAAGATTCTTTTGTTTCAGGTATTGTACCGGAGGATTGGATGAAGGCGTTTCTATATTTAAAAAGGGTTCAAAATCCCTGCCTGGAAATTATAGAGCTGTGAGCTTAACTTCTGTGACTTGGAAAATATTTGAAGGGCTATTAAGGGATAACATTCAGGAATTCAATGAGAACTTTATTAGCAATAATCAGCATGGTTTTATGAAACATAGGTCATGTCAAACTAACCTAACTGCATTCTACGAAGAAGTAAGTAAGTAGAAGTATAGATCAGGGTGTTGAAGTGGATTTTGCCAAAGCATTTGATACGGTTCCTCACAATAGATTAGTCTTCAAACTAAAAGAAATTTGTCTAGATGATTATTCTTGTTCTTGGGTAGAACATTGGCTTAAGGATAGAGTACAACGAGTTATCATTAATGGTAATTTTTTAGGCTGGACAAAAGTGGTAAGTGGTATCCCTCAGGGTTCTTTTTTGGGACCGCTGCTATTTAACATATTTATTAATGATCTTGATATAGGCATTGAAAGCCATGTTTCAGTGTTTGCAGATGACACAAAACTTTGTAAAGCAATAAAATGTGAGCAGGATATTGCTTTGCTGCAGAGGGATTTCAATAGTTTGGGCGACTGGGCACTAAAATAGCAGATTAAATTTAACATAGAGAAATGCGCAGTTATGCACTTCGGGGTCAAGAATGCACAAGCAACTTATACTCTAAATGATAGTGAAATAGGGATAACCACACATGAGAAGGATTTGGGAATTGTTATAGACAACAAATTAGGCAGTGATATGCAATGTCAATCTGCAGTTGCTAAGGCCAATAAGATTTCGTCATGTATAAATAGGGGCATAAATTCTTGGGATGAAAATATAATTTTGCCTCTTTTTTTTTTTTTTTTTTCCTAGTTTGTTGCAAAATTGGAAGCACTTCAGACTAGGTTTTTTTTTTTGACAATCAAATTTTTATTTATTTTCAGTTTTTGTATGCTATTCGGTGCAATTGACCATAATTCCGGACAGATATACGAAGAAGATGGAGAACATTTAAACAACAGTTTCATTACTTAAGTTTTATGTCCTGGAGGGGTACCATTTTCAGGGTCAACAGCTCGAGCCCAGGTCCTGTGATATTTCGGCTGTATGGCCGTAGGTGTGGGCGATCTAGTGTTCAATAGCTTCTTGCTGTCGTTTGTGTATGTGATATGCCTTAGCTTTCGGTTGTGTTTAGTGGAGCGTGTCGTAGGTTTGCTGTCTTGCGTACGTTGTCGTGCCATTTGCTAACTTCGCGTGGCGGATCTCTAGCCCTATGCTTTTTATCTATTATTTGGTTTTGCCGGGTGTATGTCTTGCGTAGTGAGTAATTGTCAGTAATTGTCATGGTCTGGTGGGGCTATATTTTGGCTATGTAGTCCGCTGCTTGCTTCTTGGTGATGTGTGTGTGTGTGTGTGTGTGTGTGTGTGTGTGTGTGTGTGTGTGTTCGTGTCGGTCCTTTGGGGGATCAGACTAGGTTTTTTTGTTTTTTTTGCCCTTTTTTGGATCAACAGCAAAAACATATATGTAAGGAAGGCTGAACTTGATGGACGCAAGTCTCTTTTCAGCTATGTAACTATGGTCAAAAACATTTAGGATGTAGAGCTGTTTTAGCATTTTATATCTATAGATTCTGTAATTCTGACATAACAGTTGGTATACTGTAATTCTATTGTGGCTCATCGCAGGACTAATGACTATCCCAGTCGCCTTCATAATTATAGGTTTACTCTAGAAACCATAACTAGGCACCATTTCAGATAATTGAAGTAGCTATGGTGCTAGGTTACTATCCATGCCTTCTTTCTGTTCAATATTTTATTTTTTAATTATGGCTGTCTCAATCAGACAGCTGAGAATTTACACTTCCTTGCCCTCATACCATTTAATACCAATGATTGTGTTTTTCCGCACACATAACAAGCTGGCAACTCTCCTGGTAAACTGAAGTGGTTATTGTGCCTTACGTGTTCCTTAAATGAATAGTCTCTTGCAAATGGCTAGAATTAAAGGGTTACTCCAACCACCTGGACCACTTCTGCTTTTTGAATTGGTCATGGTGGTAGAAGCCTGTTCTGCTTGAAACATTGCACATAAGATACATTTTCACTTGTGTGCCAGGGGTAAGTTGCAGGTGACTAATGTCAATTCTGAGCAAAAAGAGAATGCAAGCATGTCTACCCTGCATGCTATGTACACTGAAGGAAACCCTCCATCCAGCCAATCCTCTCGTTAATTTTATTTTATTTTATTTTTTTATAAAAACCTGTAAGTGCATTATTCTTTCATAAATGAAAAAGGGATGGATATGCTCTCTTTAATGTTAAAAAGGTTCTTATTACTTTAGATCTACTTTAGTCTCCTAAAAATAAAGTTCCTTAAAGGTAGTCTTACTGCAAGACTGTCTTATTTACGCAGCTCCACTCCGCCTTTGGGAGATTTATTGCTCGTGATGATCTCCTGGCCAATCCACTACTTTGCATAGAAAGGCAGGTGCATGGGTGATAATTGCAGTGATTTACAGGCTTTGCTTGTCTTAGTGTAGTATTGAAATCAGTGCTTCCTTATGAGAATATCTTGCTTTCCCTTTGAGGAAGCTTTCGGAGTGAAAACAGAAGGAACCCATGCTGGCTGTCTGGTTGACAGTCAGAAAAATTTACGGAGTGGGAGTCATAAAAATGCTAATTTTGATAAAATAAGACAAAGGACTCTAATTACTAATTACCCCAAAACCAAGCAATTTGAAGTGCTCTGGTGGTTTCTTTAATATTACATTTATAGATTTATTGCCTTATACTATGCATTTGAAGTTTTGGAAAATAAATAAAATGTATTACTAACTGTTAAACTCTCTAATCACACTTCAATCTGGTTACTGTTGAAAATGCTAATTAAAGCCCCACTAAGTGTATGCAATGATATTCTGTGTGGCTTAAAAGAAGGTGAACATATTGAAAAGACGTTTTGTACGTTTCATTACAGTATTCAAATAAAGAAGCCCAAGTGCATTTTTAAGTAATCATTCACTACAACCATTTTAATTTAGATTGCATGCTTTGGATTCTTCTAGTTTAAATAATTTAGAAATGATATCCTGGAGATTATGATTTAACTGTACACATGTATAGTATGTAGAATACCTCTCTATACCTAAAATGCACCTGTAATAGCTGTAAATATTAGATGTTCACTTTTGTCTTTTGGGTATATTTATTTTAAATGTGTAACCTTTTTTTGTACCAGCATTGCTATGTTTCAGGAAGATTAAATCAGCACTTGCTCTGTCTGGGGACTTTGCATAATATGCAAAGACCCCCAGCGGTGACATCACAAGTACAGCAGAAAGGTCAATGGAGGATCCCGCTAGACCTCAGGATCCTCCATAATAGATAGAGCAGTGATGGCTAACCTTGACACCCTAAATTTTCTGGACTACATTTCCCATGATGCTCAGCTAGCTTTTAGACTCTAAAAGCTAGCTGAGTATCATGGGAAATGTAGTCCAGAAACAATTTTAGGGTTAGCTATCACTGAGAGGCAATTTCCCTGCAGCCGTCACTGGCTGACAGAGGTAGCTTCGCCCAATGTCAAGAAGTGTCAGGCATAGGTAAATAACTGAGACAAAATAGTCCCTGCTCTCTCAGCAGGCATGTGAAATTTGCATTGCCCGATGTCCCCAAACATGTAGTTTGGGGACATACACATATGCGCACATGTTACATACAGCTAGCGCACACACGTTACATACAGCCTGCACATACCAGACAAACCGCATACAGCCTGCACACACACCATAAATGTAGCGCACACATTATGTACAGCCAACAAATATCACGTATATTAGACCCACGCAATTCACACGCACTATGGGGGAGGACAGAGTGCGAGATACTAAATTCCAACTTTTTACACATTAAATCAGAATGGAGGAAAATAGCCTGGTGTGATATAGCTGAGTTGGGGTATTTTCCAGATCGGCCATTTCAGCTTCAGTAATTCTTTCGGATTTAATCTGGAAAATGTTTGACTTTAGTGAATAACTCTGCTAATGTCCAGGTCAAAGCAGGGTCCCCAAATGTTCTAATAGTAATTTTAGTGCCTTAGACAAGTCGATTAAAAAAAATAAAGTAAAAATTCCACCCCCTTGCTCAGTTTCTTTCTTATTAGATTAGCTGCAGATAGCTGCAGTTCTCCACTTGTTAGTGATCTACAACTCCTGTGGTGCTTGCCTGTCCATCTGCAGACACTCCTTTTCATTTTGAATGGTTAAAGGGACACTATAGTCACCAGATCAACAACTACTATTTGTTCTGGTGAGTAGAATCATTAGGAAGCATATAAGCAAAATAAAAGTGATAACTGGGTCAGAAATGTGGACGGCAAAAGCAGTATGTCAGTGCAATTTCACACCTTTCTTGCATTTACTCAATTTCCTTAAGCTCCTAAATAACTTAAACCTCTTGTCTGACATATACCCTGATGTACAAAGTATTACCGGTGTGCTCTGATTGAAATGTAAATGTTGTGAAGATTGTTCCCCACACGCATATTTAAAAGCCAATTATGTGCCGGCATAGTGGGTGAGATTAGACTAGAAATTAAAGGGCTACTATAGAAATCAAAACAACTTTATCTAAATGAAGCAGTTTTTGTGTATAGATAGTGTCCATTGTCCCATAGTCGTACTGCTCAATTCCCTGCCTTTTAGGAGTTAAATCACTTTTTTGTTTCTGATTAAGCAGGCTGAACTACACGTCCCCTGCCATGCAGAGCCGGCATTTAAAAAAAAAAAAAAAAAGTTTCATTTTCAATCAGATGTAAACTTACTTTAGAAGTTTTCATATTATTCTCTGTAAATTGACGTTTAATCACACACTGAGTCTCCTGTATGATCTTGAAGGCTATTAGCAGCAGGAGAGAAGATTTTCTTAAATTAAACAGGATGTGCAATAAAGGAAGATTAATCGTTAGATGTCTCTTTACACTGCAGGAAGTGTATAGGGAGGCTGTGTAAGTCACATGCATCGAGGTGTGACTAGGGCTGAATAAACAATGGGATTTAATTCCTAAATCAGGGCTTTTGCTTTGCTTTTGCTAGGTGTTGTATATCACTAACTAGCCGTTACTACAATATCGTGCCGTCTGAATAATTACCATACCGCTTTACCTTATAGCTGGTTTATCTATCAGGTTAAATTATTCCTGCACATTACACTATCTTGGTATTAACTGAGATGAGCCATGACAAGTTATACCTAATAACTGTCTGACCATAAGGACGCTATTATCATTGCTATTTATGTATACCAGCTTCCGGGTTACTATTGTATTTTGAGCGTATATGAATTTCGTATAAATTGTTGCAATTAACACTTTTGATCAAACGTGGGGCTGCTTGCACATCTATACATATTTTTTGAATCGTTATATATTTCTATTCACTAGTGTTCTCATTGTGTGCTCTTGTGGTTTTACATACTTGTATTAAAAGTTAAGTTTTATATTTCCGTTAAAGTGGTACACACTTTGTACACACTTTCTACCACTTACTGCCCCCTTCCCTCCTTAGGGACTTACACTCTCTAGGATACTTCACCACAATTCCTTTCCTTTTCTCCAGACTCCTTTCCCTTTTAGTTGTTTAGTTTGTGGTGCAATTTCTTTTGCACTAGGGGTTAACCCCAACTCAGGAGATTATTCACTTTGGTACCTATCTACCCTAAGAATATTTTTTTACTGTGTTTTACTTATTCCTCTCAAAAAAACAAAACAAAAAAGCATGCAATCTATTATCTGATTTTCCTATAAGGAATATGTCTATGTACTTTGATTATTTTTCTGATATTATGCTAATGTCCTTAATGTAACTATGCACGTAAAAAATAAAGAATAATTTTAAATGATCACTATAGGGTCAGGAACACAAACTTGTATTCCTGACCCTATAGTGTTAAAACCACCATCTAGCCCCCCTGGGCCCCTCATGCCTCCATAAATATATTAACATCTTACTGTATTCAAGCCAGAAGCTGTAGACCTGCATGCTGTTTGCCTCACACAAAAAAAGCTGTCTGCTGACATCAGAAGTGGTGGCCTGATCCAATCACAATGCTTCCCTATAAGATTGGCTGAGACTGACAAGGAGGCAGATCAGGGGGAGAGCCAGTATGATTCAAACACAGCCCTGGCCAATCAGCATCTCCTCATAGAGATGAATTGAATCAATGAATCTCTATGAAGAAAGTTCAGTGTCTGCATGCAGAGGGAGGAGACACTGAATGTTTGGATGCATTTTAAGCAGCCATGACCCAGGAAGGATCTCTAACAGCCATCTGAGAAGTGGCCAGTGAAGTTATCACTAGGCTGTATTGTAAACACTGCATTTTCTCTGAAAAGACAGTGTTTACAGCATAAACCCTGAAGGTAATGATTCTACTCACCAGAACAAATTCAATAAGTTGTAGTTGTTCTGGTGGTACTATAGTGTCCCTTTAAAGGACCACTATAGTGCCAGGAAAACATACTAGTTTTCCTGGCACTATAGTGCCCTGAGGGTGCCCCCACCCTCAGGGTCTTACTCCCGCCTGGCTCTGGGGAGAGAAAAGGGGTAAAACTTACCTTTTTTCCAGCGCCGGGCGGGGAGTTCTCCTCCCATTCGGCTGAAAAGCTGCGCGCGCATTCAGCCAGTCTCATAGGAAAGCATTCATAATGCTTTCCTATGGACGCTTGCGTGTTCTCACTGTGATTTTCACAGTGAGAATCACGCAAGCGCCTCTAGCGGCTGTCAATGAGACAGCCACTAGAGGATTTGGAGGATGGATTAACCCTATTATAAACATTGAGATCATAGTCAACCAATCCAAGCTTACATCTATACAGCGTTGAGATAGTAAACACCCTGCACAATTCTTGCTGCTTGCTCAACCCTGCTGTACTTTAGTAAGAGACACCCAGTGGACATAGGCATGCGCACGGGGTGTGCCGGGTTTGCCTGGGCACACCCTAATCCTGTGGCACGCCTATGGTTTGAGTCCTGCAGGAACAGCGTTCCTGCACTTTTTTTTGAGCAGGAACGCTGTTCCTGCAGGCACTCAGCGCCCCCTGTCTCACCTCTTGCCCCTGTCATGGGGGGGGGCAGGGAGAGAGGTGATGGATCCCCCCCTCTCCATCTCAGCCGCAGCGAGGGAGCGGTCTGCTCTCTGCTTCCTCTCGCCGCGCGCTGATGCCGGGAGCTGGAATATGACGTCATATTCTGGCTCCCAGCTACTGTAGACAGCCCGCGCGGCGATAGGAAGCAGAGAGCAAACAGCTCCCTTGCCGCGGCTGAGATGCCGACAGGCGCCCGCCCCACTGCACCCCAGGGAAAAGTCCACGCCAGCACTCCAGGTAGGAGATTTTTTATTAAAATATAATAATTTGTATGTGTGTGTGTGTGTGTGTGTGTGTATATATATATATATATATATATATATATATATATATATATATATATATATATATATATATATATATATATATATATATAATATGTATGTATGTATGTATGTATGTGTATATATATATATATATATATATATATATATATGTATACACACACACACACACACACACACACACGTACGTATATTATTTTTTTGGGGGGGTGGGAATCCCGATATCCCCTGTCGGCTATCTGAGTGCCGGCTCTGCTCTAAGCCTCCATGGGCCGGCGGGGAGACCAAAGATCTACCTCACCGGCCCACAGCAGCATGGAGGGAGGCAGGAGAGGACCCAGGGAGCTCTAGACAGAAGCTCCGCCAGGTTCCTCTTGCGATATCTCAGCATTGCTGCGGCAACACTCAGATCTCGCGAGAGTTAACTCTAGCCCCGCAGGCTAGAGTTCACTCTCCACTGGACCACCAGGGATGGCACATGACAGCAAGGATTTACTAATCTGCCCCCACCTCCACAATCCCTCCAAACATACAGCACACACACATACAGCACCTACACACATACAGCTCACACACACACAGTACACTAACCGCACCCTCACAAACACACACAGCACCTTTAAAAAAAAAACCACAGCACCCTCACACACAGCACACTAACAGCACCCTCGCAAACACACAGCACACTAACAGCACTCTCACAAACACACACAAACAGCACCCTCACACACACACACACAAATACACGAAACTCACACAAACAGCACCCTCACACACAAACAGCACAGTCACAAACTCACACACACAAACAGTACCCTCACACAGCACACTAACAGAACACACAGCAGTGTGTGTGTGTGTGTGTATATATATATATGTGTGTGTGTTTGTGCTTTAGGGTGCACACCCTAATGCAATAGGCTGCGCACGCCTATGCCAGTGGATCTTCAGTTGCTGTTGTTGCTGCAGCCCACAGCTCTGTATACTAGTGCTTAAGAGGGAAATTATCTTTTGCCCCTCTTGCCATTTCTACGCTCCTTGCATACGCTATTTAAGCACACTCTATATATCTTTATAATTCCTAGCATTTTAATTATTTGTTAGCAGGCTTGTTAGGGAGATTGTCTCTCTATTTTTCATTCAGATCACTTTAATTTCAAAAGTTAACCTTTTCCATCTTTTTTATAGTTTTATTTTTTTTCTTGTCTATCATGCCCCAGTGCATTTTATCTCTGTAGTTTCAGTGTTGTAAAAATTTTGAGGGTTAATGCCTTTCTAGTGGGGTGTAAATAGTTACTCCAATGTCCATGCTTACTTGTGCATTTTGAAATGGTCATGGAGCAAGGATCTGTATGTGCAGCTTTTTTGCACTTTTGTGACCGGGGCTAGTTTTAACCCAGCAAATGTGATTTAGGCAGTCTGGAAAAAAGTCTGTCTGTGCGTGCTGGTGACAAATTTAACCAAACTCTACCTTTGCAGGCACTTCAGGGGGTTAGCCTGCAAGGGAGAAGCGTCTTTCACCTCCCTCCATTGTTCCCTTGTTTCAGCCTTTCTGCCTTCCTCACCAGCTTACACTCTTCAATTGCTGCAAGTTTTTTTTTTTTTTTTTTTCTTTAATGCCCTCCTTTCTGTGCCCACCCCTACTCTCTCCTTCCTTCCCGGCTCGGAAAACACATGTGAAGAATCACAACTGACCTTTTACCAAGATCTGACACGATCAACCTTGCAATGGCGCAAAACACTGGCGCCACTCATCACACAACTGAGAGCAGCTGGCGTAAAGTACCGCTGGGGAGCACCGGGATCCCTCATGGTGATCCACCAAGGACAAACTCACATGCTCACCTCTCTCTCCGAGGCACAATCATTTCTCACAGCCCTGGGACTACCAACACCTTCATCCGCTCCACCGAGGCCCACCTCTACGAGGGTCGGGGACCCTGCCACGACCATGCCACTCACCCCAAGAGCGGCAACTGAAATTCAATCCACAACCTGACAACACTGGACAACCGGGAAGGTCATATTGATCCTGACTGAGAGAAACCAGTTACTGTTACTTATGTTGTTAATGTCTTATTGCTAACTCTGCTAACACCTCCAACTGACTTCTTATAAACCAGACCAGGAGCCCACTACGCAAGCTCCTCTACCCTTAGCAGCAACACTATCAGGCGAGACACCTCCCCCCCGCTACCCCCTTCAGGTTAGGGGTACGAAACGAACCAAGTGCTACACAAGTCAGAACACACAGCTACAGGGCCTACTATGCCCCCTAAACGCTTGGCCCCACTACCCCTCAGTGATAAGCCTACAACAAGCAAACTCCCTGGTCGGTAACCAACCAGTAAACCTGGCACGTAACAACCATCTCCACCAGTGAGTTTCACCCTCCAAACAGAACACCTTCTTACTAACACTGAGCCTTACCTCTCGAATATATACCAACACTCCACAACGTACCACTCTTAGTAAACACCTTTCAGGTCTCGACTAAACCTCTTCCTAATATACGTTGTTCAACCTTGTTTAATGTAAAAATTATATGCCAATTCCTCATGTCACATATGTCTAAAATACAAAACTACTACCTGCATTATTGATATAACTGATTCCAATGTTGTATTTCTTTGGCATGAAAAATAAAGAATAAAAAAACAAAAAACAAGAAAAACAGTCTTCTTGAGAGCAAATACAGAGGGTTCACCACAAGGAGCAAACAATTCATAAGCCTCAAGAATAGAAAGGCCTGATTAGACGGACATCTTAGAAAAGCCAGCCCAGTTCTGGAACAGCCTTCTTTGGACAGATGAAAGTAAGATCAACCTGTACTAGAATGATAGGAAGAAAAACGTATTGAGAAGGCCTGGAAGGCTCATGATCCAAAGTTTACCACATCATCCGTCAAACACTGTGAAGGCAGTGTGACGGCATGGGTTTGCATGGCAGTTAGTCAGTTTAATTCTGAGGCGTATAGGCATATATTGTCTGCTCAAATTCAGCAAAGTTGATGGGACGGCACTTCACTTTAAAGATGGACAATGATCCAGAACATACTGTGAAAGCAACCCATGAGTTGCTTACGGCAAAGAATTGGAATACTCTGCAATGGCTGAGTCAATCACCTGATCTCAACCCCATTGAGCATGCATTTCACTTTCTGAAGACAAAACTTAAGGCAAAAACACCCACAAACAAACACCAACTGAAGACGGCTGCAGTAAAGGCCTGGCAAATAATTAAAGGAGAAAACACAGCATTTAGTGATATCCATGTGCTCCAGATTGCAAGCAGTCATTGCCTGCAAATAATTCTTGAAAAAGTATAAAAAAAATTACATTTTATTTATGATTGTGTTAATTTGTCCAATTACATTTGAGCCCCTGAAATATGTGTATGAAAATGGTTGCAATTTCTCAATGTATCCTACAATATTAATGCTCAACCACTTGAACTTAAGCTCTCAGTCTGCACTTCAATTGCATCATGGTTGTTCCATTTTAAATCCATTGTGGTGGGTACAGAGCCCAAATTATGACACTTGTGTCCATGTCCAAATATTTACATGCCTAATTGTAGGTGGTGCCTATGGTATGGTTCATATTCCCCAGACATTTCTTGAAAATTTTTGAATGTTTTCTTCATTAACTTTTTATTTAAGAGTATGCATCACGTATCTTGAATGTAAACAATTTCACTTCTTGCCTGTTTCCTTGAATATAATTTATTATACACATTGGTATTGGTTTTTGTGTATATGTATTTTTATTTATTTTTTAAAATTTATTTTTGCTATTCTGCAGGTATTCCCACTGCTTGGTTTTTGGCAGTCACCGTGCCGAGTAAGCATATTTGCTTTCAGCTCACTGAAATAAAATCAAAGTGCTTTGTTCACAGAATTTGAAGTAACTTGTTGAAGATATAAAACTACAAGGATGACACATAAAAAATACAGAACAGACACCTCAGCAGATTGGAAGATGTCAGTGCTCAGGAATGAGTAGTGAATAATATGTGTTCGGTTACGAAAGTTTTTCAGCATTCGAAAATCTTTCGGCTGAGAAGGAAGCAGATGGCGTTCTTACAGCTTTCTAAGTTTCAGTTATTGCTGCTATCCAATCCTTTTAATCAGTGCCCTGCGTGTGCCCGTTGTGCTAGAGGCTGGCTTGTAGACGGTATTTTACGGTTTACATTACAGCAGCTATTTTTATGTAGAAATTAGTACTTTTTCGTTGAATTGTTGGGTTTCTAGTAAACTCTGTTAATAAATCATTTCTTTTAATTAAGTGAGTAAAGCTTAATAGGTTGACTACAAAACTCCTTTATGTGAATGTATGTTTGTTTATTATGAGATATATATATATAATATATATATATATATATATATATATATATATATATATATATATATATATATATATATACAGGGAGTGCAGAATTATTAGGCAAGTTGTATTTTTGAGGATTAATTTTATTATTGAACAACAACCATGTTCTCAATGAACCCAAAAAACTCATTAATATCAAAGCTGAATATTTTTGGAAGTAGTTTTTAGTTTGTTTTTAGTTATAGCTATGTTAGGGGGATATCTGTGTGTGCAGGTGACTATTACTGTGCATAATTATTAGGCAACTTAACAAAAAACAAATATATACCCATTTCAATTATTTATTATTACCAGTGAAACCAATATAACATCTCAACATTCACAAATATACATTTCTGACATTCAAAAACAAAACAAAAACAAATCAGTGACCAATATAGCCACCTTTCTTTGCAAGGACACTCAAAAGCCTGCCATCCATGGATTCTGTCAGTGTTTTGATCTGTTCACCATCAACATTGCGTGCAGCAGCAACCACAGCCTCCCAGACACTGTTCAGAGAGGTGTACTGTTTTCCCTCCTTGTAAATCTCACATTTGATGATGGACCACAGGTTCTCAATGGGGTTCAGATCAGGTGAACAAGGAGGCCATGTCATTAGATTTCCTTCTTTTATACCCTTTCTTGCCAGCCACGCTGTGGAGTACTTGGACGCGTGTGATGGAGCATTGTCCTGCATGAAAATCATGTTTTTCTTGAAGGATGCAGACTTCTTCCTGTACCACTGCTTGAAGAAGGTGTCTTCCAGGAACTGGCAGTAGGACTGGGAGTTGAGCTTGACTCCATCCTCAACCCGAAAAGGCCCCACAAGCTCATCTTTGATGATACCAGCCCAAACCAGTACTCCACCTCCACCTTGCTGGCGTCTGAGTCGGACTGGAGCTCTCTGCCCTTTACCAATCCAGCCACGGGCCCATCCATCTGGCCCATCAAGACTCACTCTCATTTCATCAGTCCATAAAACCTTAGAAAAATCAGTCTTGAGATATTTCTTGGCCCAGTCTTGACGTTTCAGCTTGTGTGTCTTGTTCAGTGGTGGTCGTCTTTCAGCCTTTCTTACCTTGGCCATGTCTCTGAGTATTGCACACCTTGTGCTTTTGGGCACTCCAGTGATGTTGCAGCTCTGAAATATGGCCAAACTGGTGGCAAGTGGCATCGTGGCAGCTGCACGCTTGACTTTTCTCAGTTCATGGGCAGTTATTTTGCGCCTTGGTTTTTCCACACGCTTCTTGCGACCCTGTTGACTATTTTGAATGAAACGCTTGATTGTTCGATGATCACGCTTCAGAAGCTTTGCAATTTTAAGAGTGCTGCATCCCTCTGCAAGATATCTCACTATTTTTGACTTTTCTGAGCCTGTCAAGTCCTTCTTTTGACCCATTTTGCCAAAGTAAAGGAAGTTGCCTAATAATTATGCACACCTGATATAGGGTGTTGATGTCATTAGACCACACCCCTTCTCATTACAGAGATGCACATCACCTAATATGCTTAATTGGTAGTAGGCTTTCGAACCTATTCAGTTTGGAGTAAGACAACATGCATAAAGAGGATGATGTGGTCAAAATACTCATTTGCCTAATAATTCTGCACTCCCTGTATATATATATATATATATTTAGAGACAGAGAGACCTCCCCCCTCTTTGGGCAAAACATGTCTATAGAAAATCCAGCAAGACCAGATGATCTTCTGCAATGAAATGGCATAGGCATCTATTGCATGTCACTCCTAACAACTAAGTAGAAATGGCAGGATTTGAAGGTCTACCCCTGTACAGAACTGCAAAATGTGTTGGCACCTTGTAAAGTATAATAATAAGGTGCATTGCTGCATTTAAAAAACAATTGGTCCTACATGATGGAATTAGTGCCCTCTTTGTCTCAATTTTTATCTTGTGATTGCAAGGAAATTCAGTGAAATTCCAAAGCAATATTTTGAGTTTTTTTTAATTTATTTTTTTGCTTTTTTTATTTTTATTAATTATAGAGTCTTTCATCATGAAAACCTCAGTAATGATGACACATTGTAAAATACTGGGGCATTCCAAGCATTAGAACAGTCTATGCTGTTATGGCACAAGAAGCTCAAGCAGATACATTGGTTATATTTTTATTCTAGACACAAACTTTATACAAGTCTCCACTTCTAGTGTTAGATTATCTTCTCCTTTTCTATAGAGCTTTACATCAAGCAAATAAAAGTTTCACTCCATATCCCCCACTGACCAGGGCTGCCATCAGAAATTTTGGGGCCCCTAACACAGCTCAAAGTCTAGGCTTCCGGGGCAGCTCTCCAATCTCTCCCCCATGGCCTGGCTTCAAATTCACCCACGAGGATGCAGTGTGTGTGTGTGTGTGTGTGTGTGTTGTGTATGTGATGTGTGTAAAGTAGACACGGTGTGTGATAGGGCATGTGTAGAGGATGCACTGTGTGTGTGTGTGTGTGTGTGTGTATATATATATATATATATATATATATATATATATATATATAAACATGAATTTGGGGCAGGACACTAAAATCATTAGATTAGTGGTACATTGCTATCTTCATTTTATTCAGAAAGGTTTCCAGGTTTAAAGTACAAGTTGAAATATATCCCCACATCCTAGGCTCCATGGTTTCTGAAAGTATTAATATTGGATTTAAAAAAAACACTATAGACACCCAGACCACTTCAGCTCAATTAAGTGGTCTGGGTGCCAGGTCCCTCTAGTTTTAACCTTGCAGCTGAAAACATAGCAGTTTCAGAAAAACTGCTATGTTTACACTGCAGGGTTAATCCAGCCTCTCGTTGCTTTCTCACTGACAACCACTAGAGGTCGCTTTCGCGATTCTCACTGTGAAAATCAAGGTGAGAAGAAGCTGACGTCCATAGGAAAGCATTGAGTAATACCTTCCTATGGGCTTTTTAAATGTGCACATGGCTCTGGCCGCGCATGCGTATTCGGCTCCACTCGTGAGCAAACGTCGGAGGGGGAGGAGAGGTCACCAGCGCCGAGGGAGCCCGGCACTGCATAAAGGAAAGTGGCTGGAGGGGTCTTAAGGGGAGGGGGGCCATGAGGGTGGGGGGCAACCTAAGGACTACATAGTGCCAGGAAAACGAGTTAGTTTTGCTGGCACGATAGTGGTCCTTTAAGATGCGCCTTGTTTTTGGCTTCTGTGTATAACGTCCCTTGGATGTTGGGCAAACGTAAGAAACCAGAGTAATCTGAATGTACCTTTCCTGGTTAAATATCTTATTATTATTATTACATTGGTCTGTTAAATTACAAAAGCATTTGGCAACTCCAAATGTTTGTGGCGACGGTATTATCACTTCTAGAGAGCAAAAAACGGGGCCCTAGAGAAACACTTCTAGTTACACAAATATATTTCTTAAAGGCTGTATTACATATCTGCAGTTCAGAGCATTGCGTCAGCAAGCTAAATAAATTAATGCCACTAGCAGTCATCTTCTTTTGTCTGGAAAATATTCATAAATAATATATTGTGAAATGTTGCAGATAAGTCGTAATGTCTCTATTGCTTAGTTTTTGTGTTTATTAAAATGGCATAATATTAAATCTTAAAGTGATACTTTCTGTGATGTTCGGAGCGCCTGAGTTAACACCAACACTTTACAGTGCAATGACGCCCAAAGGGATAATAGAAACAAATGTTCTTTATAGTTTGTAGATAAAATGGTGAAAAAAACAATATGAATCTTTGCAGATACGTGCAATTTTACATTCACCTCTGATTAGGAAAAGCCTGACAGCATTGTATGCCCCAGCTACTTAATGGCAATTGTTGGTGTTCGCAGTCTAGATCTTTCCTTTTTCAAATGCTTTTAAAACGGCTGCAGAATTAAAAATATATGGACATTTATTCAGTGTTTTTTTTTTTTCCTTTGTTTGTATTTTTATTTTTATTACCGAACTATATCACCAACTCTCAATAACTACTCTCACTGCCTCTACCTCCAGAAAAAAACTGAATTAATCAATATTGCAATTAATGTTCAAATATAGAATATAAGATTGGAATGTAGGGCAGCTTGTGTGCTTGTTTCTTGAGTTGAAAACAGCTGTTCAAAAGTAGTTCCCTTGGTACTCTGTCATCCCAGCATCATGGGAGTCATGGGTTCAACATCTGTTTGGGATATACCTTTGTGCCAGCCTGAATTAAGAAAATCAAATTTACCTGTCTGCACCTTTGATTTGTTGTCATTATTATCATTAATTTCCACATGTTTGTATCTGGCCATAGAGATGAGTATGTGAATCTTCTTCCTGCAGGGTGGGACGCTCATTGCTGTTGGGCTTGGAGTAGCGGCTGCAGCATTTGCAGGTAAGAAAACAAATTCTATATTTTTGCTGAAACCAAGGGATTTTTTTTGTCATTTAAAAGCACACTATAGGCACCCATACTACTTCCGCTCAATGAAGTCGTCTGGGTGCAGTGTCCCAGATCCCTTAAACCTGCAGTGGTAATTATTGCAATTTTTAATAACTCCACTTCTAGTGGTGGTCTACCATGAGGACATCCAGCGTCACCCGAAACCCCATAGGAAAGCATTTTACAATTCTTTCATGTGGGGGGAAGACCTGGGAAGGAGCGGAGGCGTAGCTGGACCAGTGCCAAGGGGATTTGTTACCTTCTGCACCCGGGGGGGTGGGGGGGATGGGGCACGTGATGTTGGGGGGCTCTATAGGGGGCTATAGTGCCAGGAAACAACTTTGTTTTCCTAGCACTATAGTTTCCCTTTAAGATAATTGTACATCAGATTATTTTTAAGAATTTAAAGAGACCCTGCAGTTGAATGTAATGGTTTCTTGTGTCTATAGCCTTTCCTTATAGTGTTTGCACTGTAAACACTGGCTTTTCACTGGCTAGTAACACCTCTAGTTGCAGTCACTCATACAGCCAATAGAGGTGCTTCCTAGTCCAGTGCTGCACAGTGTGATGGAGGCAAAGCTAGGCACGACATGGAAGAAAGGTAAGTTTTAAAACTTTAATCTCCACAGAGTGCATGAGGTTGGGGAGCTAAACAGTGATTTTTCTGTTCTTACCCTCCAGCACAGGTCTTCACCTTGTAGAGAAAGCTCTACAATGGAACTGTAAATTATGACATTTTGCTCCTCCCTTTAGGTCTTTTAGCAATTTAGTACAGGGTTTCTTTGCAATACAGATGTTAGGTGTCGTAACTGTAATTAATGTACCGTATATGGACTTTATGAGCAACAGTTATATTCATATCGCTTGTTCTCCTCTGTTATTCTTTTACCTAGTATGGGGGGTTTAATATCTGTTGATTTGGTGTCTGAAGTGGGATGTGTTTGCATATCTTGGGTGCATACAACTCTCACACTGGTCCCATGGGTCCGAGCGTGTGCTGGGCTGATAGACAGTGTTGCCAACCAAGGTTTGGATATCTTTTCCTGACAAGCTGCACTTAGTATCACTCTGGTGAGCTCCTGATCTCAAGTGAACAGTGACAGATGGGAATGCACAGAGAAAATGCACACACATCCGTTAGCATAGCTGGACTACGATGGAAACGACAAAAAAAAATTGCTTGGTGATCCTAGTACTTAAGTGCCACTCAAGACGTTGTTTACCAATATTTTTAAGTGGCGTATTTGAGCATTTTTGTTTATTTTTCTCACATCTGTTGTACATTGCAAAAACTGAGTTACATGTTTTTTTATGCCAATATATGTATAAAGGACAAATAAAAAAATGACACATCATTATAAAAACCACCAATGCACAGATTTCCAATTTTGTCTTATGTTTATGAGTAAGTTATGCATCCTATGCTTTATAAACATTTACAAAAAAAAGCCCAAACTGTGCATAGCATAGAAAGACGAAATGCGTCCTATCCCAAACTCCTGGTGAATATGCAAAAGGAATGAGACTTATGGTCAGATTTGAGTAAAACGGAATGCAAATTCTCTAGTGTAATGCTCCCATCTGTGGTAGTGTTACAGATCAAATCTATACCGATATTCTCTAATATAATACCCAGTGATAGGTGCTACTTTGGGGGTTTGAAGGGAGTCATGTACTACTAGTTGAATTAAGCTATATTAGTATGTTAACGTCTACACTTTTTCATTCTGTTTGATAGACATCAACGTGTGCATTGGGAATTTCTAGAATGTCTTTGTTTGGACATATGTTTCTAGATATGTAAAATCCTCCAGGGAATGCCTGATGTACTTTACTAACGTAGTGCTATTCCAGGATGTTACAATTGCTATCGTACTCTGTATATTCTTTAATTGTCACATTGTTTTGCCTGATCCATTTGAAAGCATTATTGGTGCATGTATGCAGAGTGGAAATGCTGTTTGGTGTCTGGGTATGTACTTTTTATGAAGAGATATTTCCCTATGTTACTACACTGTTTGCCTCACACCACTATAGTCTCTACTAATATATACTGCCCAGGGATGAGGGTGGAGATGCACAGATTTTTCTCTGTACCTCCAGGAAATAAGGATTACCTTGCTGATCACAACTGCTTCTCCTAAAGCCCCACATCCATACAATGACATACTATGATCTTATCAAGGAGAGCAGAATTGCGCCATATACAGGTTTAAACCTCATAAATTACACATGAAAGGGGTCATGGGATAGCCATGTATTAGCTGGTAGCATGCCTCCCAATCCATGCGGGAGTTCATCTGTAGAGATACTGAATATTGAGCAAGTCTTAATGTGAAAAAAACACCTTAATTATTTAAAAGTCCATAAATCTCGAGAAAGTGTAAAATGTTTTTTTGTTTTTGTTTATTTTGTTTTTTTAAGGTCGCTTCGCATTCCAATTATGGAAACCTTTGGGACAAGTTATTGTAGAAAATGCCAAAAAAATTTCAACTCCAGTAAGTGTGAATTTCTCTATTTTTTATAAATAAAACATAGCTGTGCAAGCTTTCATTCTAATTCCTAGGTTCAGCTTCTGGTCATGTTCCAAAGTGTGATATTGCTGTGATTTATTTATTTATTTATTTATTTTTCCCTCTACAACTTGTTTTCTTTTATTTTCCAGAGCCTTTCATATTATTACAAAGGAGGATTTGAGCAGAAAATGAGTAGGAGAGAAGCAAGCCTTATTTTAGGTGTCAGGTAGGTGTGCAACCTTGTACGTCTATTGCGTCTTCCTTTTTTATTATGAAATGTACATTCTGCGTTTCATTAAATCTCTTCAGAATAATATGTAATTTGCTAGAATTTATTCTGATTTGTTGACAGTTAGAAAGACAGCCAACTGAAATGGGGCACATCTGTAGCTGACCTTATTAAATGAATTAACTGCCACAATGACTGACCTCCTTTTACTTTGATATACATTTTATCCCTTGTCAAAGTGTTCATTCTAAAGATAACTATATCTTCTTTGTGCGTGTAACAATTCAAAACCATTAGCTAAAACCTGTCATTTCTTGTTAGCACATTTAATAACATCTTTCATATTTAATAAGTGTTAGCATTAGCCTCATTGAGTTATCAATCTGAGCAAGCAGACCACAATCATCCAGTTTGTCATGAGTGTTGCTGCAAATGTTCCCTTTTTAGTTATTTTCCAAGTTTTTTTTTACCCCCAGACTATGAAATTACCATGTGAGCTCTCTTATGTTTTGTTCTTTAAAAATATTTTTTTTAAAATACCATTTGTAGATGTCCGATTCCTTCTGGTATTTTATCATCGTTTTTATCCACCTGCATTTTTCTATTTGTACTCTTATTTATCAGCTGTTTTGTCACAAAATCGGATTCCTATGTTGGTTGAGAAGGTGACCAAAAGATGTTATTTGCAGTTAATATATTAGGGTGGCTTTTTAAAAAAAAATTTTTTTTTTATTATTAAGCTGTATTGGGCTAGAATGTAGTTCTTTGTCTTGGCCACAAGATGGCAAAAGTCACCCCTTTTCTGCTTCACCTAACTATGAAATGTAATTTACACCATATAGTTGATGCAGTTTATTGTAAACTTTACTTTTACAGTCCATCTGCTGCAAAGTCCAAAATTCGGGCTGCTCATCGGAAAATAATGATTTTAAATCACCCAGATAAAGGTAAAATAAATTTTTATTTTTATTTCTTAATTTGATGTTACTGTGTAAAAATATTAGAGATGTGTAGATCAATTATTTTTAATCTTGAAAGCCACATACAGGTAAAATTATTTTATCTACTGTTAAAGCATACGTTTAAATTGCAAGTGAACCTGTGTATCACAAGAATAGTGGATATTTTCAGAGATAACAGTTTTGTCAAAAGAGACATATGTATCCTAACAGCAGAGCATAATCCTTTTTTATTACCAACAAATAAATTATTGTGCTAAATGATAGCAATACCAATGATTACAATAAATAGCTTTTTGAATAAAACATAGACTTTAATTTGTTTTACATCTTCCAGTACCTTTAAACTGTCATTATCTTGCAGATAAATATTTTTATTGTATTATCTAAGTAATCTCACCGATGGGTCCAGAAACACATTTATTACATTTTCCTGGTTTCTGTGCTATAGCGTCGCTGGACGTATTCACGCTATGTGAGGACCTCCAGCGTCGCTAAAATTCCCATAGGAAAGCATTGAAAGCATTTTCAATGCTTTCCTATGGAGAGGTCTAATGCGCATGCTTGTCGGCGGGGGAGGCGCGTGGGCGGATCCTAAACCAGCGCCGAGGGACATCGGCGCTGGTCTCAGGTATGTCACTGAAGGGGTTCTAACCCCTTCAGCAACATGGGGTGGGAGGGAGAGGGGACCTGCAGTGCCAACGATTTGTTTTCCTGGCACTGGAGTGTCCCTTTAATCTACATTTGCATAGTACTGTGTTATTTAAAAAAGGAAATACAGAATATCATACACATTGTATATGTCTAAAATTGGAACAGATATTTTGAGGTAGGCAGTGATGAACCGTATAAAATTAATCTTTAATTAGGATTACCTACTATTATTTAATGGATGTTTTACTGCTGCTTACATAGCTTTAAGCACGGCTACTTCTGTGATTTTACAGAGGAAAGGATCAATGTTTTATTTTTGTAGATGAAAGTGTGATTGCCACTTTTGTTTTATAGCTGTTCTGATTTTACTTTCAACATAGTCTGGTCATTCTATATTCTCATTACAGATGTGGAATTCCATGTTGTGTGTGACAGACATTGGTTGTGATTGACATTTTTACTAAAATGTTTATGCCCAGATGACTTTACACTATGGTCCTACTTTCCTGGTGCCATAGCAACAGTTTCCTTGCTTTAGTAAACCTGAGTACAGAAACAGAAACTAGCCAAGGTATACACAGTGAAATAATATTCAATCTTTACATTGCACATTTTTGAGGCATTTAACTACAATATAGCATTGAAATTAGCAGTGTTGTTAAACGGGTTTCTCTCGACGTCCATAAACAAACACTACAACCACCATGACAATTACAACGTAATGTTGTGGTGCCAGTGTTAATTTTGCCGACTAACAATTTTAGTCAAACTTTAGTCAACTAAAACAATTCAGATGACTAAAATACGACACTGCACCGAGGGGCTGTTAAAGGAGCGAAAGAGACAGACCAGGGCTTGGGAGAGAGACACCTAGAGGGGCTGGCGGTCACAAAGAGACCGAGAGGGGCCGGGAAAGGGGCAAAGGAGACAGATAGAGGCTTTAACTAAACCCATTAGATTTTAGTCATGTTGACTAAAATCTACTGGAGATTTAGTCGACTAAAACAATTCAGATTACTAAAATACAACTAGAACGGCTTTTAGTAAAAAGACTATAACTAAAACTGGATTGAAATTTGCTGCCAAAATTAGCACTGTGTAGTGCCTGGAAGTTATGGGTAAAGTCCAACCAGTTTTTGTTAAATAGTTTTCAATAGTTTTAACAAAACCCTGAGGATTATCAGTGTCCAAAAGCCTATTCAATCTGGTTAAGGCATTATATTATGGAAGGTTAGTGTTTCTCTGATATATTTTTGCTATACAAAGTGGTGAGCACCATTTATATATATATTTTTTTTTTTTGGAAAATCTCTTTTATTGAGTTTTTGTATTTCGTATATTCATTTAAGACAAATGTAGAATTGAAACAATATGGATGCGCAGGTCCCATGCTTTATAACGTTATGCAATTGTGAACAAAGGAAATTTACATAGGAAGGTTCCAACGGACATAGTAGCATTATACGGCTGATGCTGCCTGCTCTAAAGACCGTAAAGACACATACAATTCTGGTCAGAGCACTATAGGGTATCGAGCTATCTTCATCACCCTACCGTCAGTACGTGGGACTATCGACCACCCCTTTGGTTATGTGTTCCTGAGCGTGTCCTACAACTAATGGGTCCTTAGGTAGCTTGTGTAGTTGTGCTCACTCAAGGTGTGTGCCAGGCTGGGCTAGGGTAGTTCAGGAGACTCTGTGTGATGTCCCCGGTTCCCTTTATGTGTCATTATGGATCCGTGGGCACTGCTGATGAGTGTATGGTCCTTCTGGAAGTGGGCCATCTCCTCTAGCCTACCCTAAAAGGGGGGAGGGGGATGGTGGGTGCGCGTATGTTTGTGGGTCGTTCCAAGAGACCCGATAGGCAGGGATGAGTGGTTACCGTGTTTGTTGTACATATTTGATCTGATGCGTTCCTATTACAGGGCAGTTTCCTTTTGCTGGGGTGTTCAATCCCCATCCTGTTAAGTGCGTAAATGTGTTAAAAATTATAAGGGAAAGTTAAAGAAATGTTTAGTAGTAGGGTAAGAGGAAAAGAATTGGAAGAAAAAAGAGTTGCCGTTCGCCTCGGATGCAGTTCGAATTGGGGGTGTGAGAGGAGGTTTGAATGGCCATGCCCCAGTGAGTCACCCTCCCTCCCAGGGTGTCCCCCCACAGGCTGCTTATCTCTAGTTGTTCTGAGACACGAATGTATACCATGGTCGCCACATTTCTGCGTGTCTGTCTCTCCTCCCAAGAAGTGAAGCCTGGATCGCCTCCGCCCCCTGAATGTCCTCCACCCTGCGGATCCATTCTTCCAGTCGGGGCGTCTCCGTCCATTTCCAGTATAGCGGGATCAAAGCTTTGGCTGCATTAAGTAGATGACATAAAATTGATTTCTTGTATGCGGCAATCGACATTGTTGAAATATGTAGAAGGGGTAGTGTTGCCGCCCACTCGGGTGTTTCTCCCAAAATCTCTGCTATTTTCTCTGGGATCATCTCCCAGTATGGGACTATGAGGCGACAATCCCACCATAGGTGTATTATCGTGCCTCTTTCCTCGAGACATCTCCAGCATGTCGGTGATATTGTAGGGAAAATTCTGTGGAGTAGTATCGGTGTCTTGTACCAAAGTGCGATTAATTTGTAATTCGTCTCTTGGTAGTGAGTGCTAATGGAGCTTTTGTGTTGCCAGAATAATGCGCCCTCCCACTGTTGGGGGGTAAAGGTGGTATCCATCAGAGTCTCCCATTGCCTACGGAAGGTGTTGTTTTCTGCTAGGTTACCCACCAGGAGATGTTGGTATAAGGTGGATACGGTTTTGTCTAGCAAGGAGCATTTATATTTTTTGTGTGTGTGTGTATGTGTATGTATGTGTGTGTGTGTGTATATATGTATATATATGTGTATATATATATATAAATAATTCAAAATGAATCCTAGAGAATAAATAATGTTCTTATGATGTCCTCAAAATGTTGGTGCTGTTTGTTTAAAATGCAAAGGAGTGAGGTGGGGTGAGGCCTGCTCGATCAGCCAAATAAATGTTGATGCTGGAGCTTTCACATTTAAAGTTCCCTGTCTGTAAACTTGCCATAAAATAATAATGCCATTCAGAGTTTTGAAATTACAGGCTGCAGAACCAGAGCAGAAATGCTGTAACTAGCCAGGTTTTGAATGTAAATGATTTATTTTACAGAGAGACTATTATTATAACGTCTAAGTAGACCGCATCTGCTGGAAATAAAGCATGTCCATATGTTCAATGCTGCTTCGGCTTAAAAATAGCAGATGGTAAAATATTATGCTGTTTCAAAAGTCAAACTGAGAAAACGTATATTACTTTATTTTTTTATTTTTATTTTTTGCCTTGGATTTGGCCAGATTTTCTGTGTCCTCCACCATTTGACTTCAAGTTGCTGACACTTTACTTATAACAACAAAAATACTTTTTGTGATTTTGGAAGTGTAGATAAGAAGATAAAACAACTATAAACAAAACCATGGGAATGCAGGCATGAAATCATTAGGGAATTATGAATTGAATGGATTGAATGTAACAATTTTAAAATGAATGTACTTCTGCTGTTAAAATATACGTACATAGGCCTTTATTTAATACTTTTGGATAAGCTTTTCAATTATTTAATGTTTTTGGATAAATATTTTTACTTTTTTCAAAATGTTTGAACCTGAAAAAAAGATATTTTTCCCAATGGTGATTTTACTATTTTGGAAACTATTTTAATAAAGTGTATTCTAAAATACTACGTAATTTAAAAAGCTTATCCTAAAATATTAAATCGAGGCTGTAGATAGAACACTTAAAATATATCATATGAATTAGTTTGACAGAGGGACATTGTTAGATTTTATAAAATTTGCTTGCAAGCCTAGAATATATATATATAAAATACTGAAACTGATTATACCCCTGCTCCAGGTATGTGTAGAACATTTGATATTATAAATTTATACTGTGTTTTTTCAAATTTTTTTAGTCTAAAATTGGGGGGCCGTCTTATACACGGAATGTCACTGCAGGGGTTAAAACAAAAACCTTGTGCGCGGGCCTAAGCCAAGATGGTGCCTGCCGCATTTCAGTGTGCCACGGCCCACACACATTCCTGGCCTCCCTCCTGCCTATCCACTTCTGAATGCTGTGGCAAGGAGATAGAGGTCCCTATATGTGTGGGAACTGCAGCAGACACCAGCACTTATCACCAACATATTAAGATTTGCTCCACCTCAGGTAGGTCTTACTTTCTGAGTTATTTATGATGGAGGAAATGGGGATCAGAGGGAATACTACTGTGATGTCCCAGCATATGCCCTCACACCACCTGCTGTATTGTGGGAGCTGTAGTCTCCCAGCATGCACTATGGAGCTATTCACTTCAGAGCGTACCGTAGCACAGGGGAGATATGGAATCAGAAGTGTGTTGTTGTCCTCAAGTCGCCTCTAAAATATCAAAGTTGTTCTATTTCATGTTTAAACTACTTATTTTTTTAATTTTGAGCATAAAAAAAAATAGGGGTCATCTTATAGTAAGTGAGAAAAAGACAGAGGACCCGACGCGCGTTTCGGTGCTTAAAGCATGTACCTTCGTCAGGGGCTATAATGTCTTTTTCTCACTTACTTCTCAACACTGGGCACTTTTCACTATGTGCAGGCAACCAACGTTCTAAGTATGGTTCTGCACATTAGCACTATTTAATTTATTTTATTTTCTACCTCTCTTTTCTTTCCAATCCTGTATCTATTAGTCATGAATAGAAGACACATTAGTAACCAAGATTGATTCTTTTCTAACATTTACAGTTTGTTCTCCTTTCGGATAATGTGTATTCATTTTATTTAGATACATTTGTTTCAATTGCCCTTACAAGTGCTGGCTATATGAGAAATCATTATTCTGTACAACGGGCAGTGAGACATCAAGGTTTAAATGGTCTCTTACTGTTGTTGTACCTGGATTTTTGAGTGGTTTAGTCACTTCCAGCACTTTAGGACATTATATTAGAGATTTGGAAAGCCCACCGTGACTATATTCGGTTAGATTTATACTGACCATGGAGACAGTGACAAATCAAGTTACTAATAAAGTCAGAAGTCTGAGGGTCATTGATTAATACGGCGGTTTTATGAGAGGTTTAGCTTAAAGGCTTAGTTATTATTATTTTTATTTTACTTTGGATGTTTCTAGGGACTGGTACAAGGAGATTTTTCTATACATTATTAAGGTTAATAACACACTTTTGCAGATCATATATTCATTATTCAATTCCAGTTTAATCCGTACCACAGGAGTATCTCCAGTGTTTAGGATTTTTTTTTTCTTTTTGTAAATTCTATTTAGGGGTTAAGCCCCAGGACAATAACTGGAGTGTCCTTTAAGGTGTGTTTTTTGGGGGGTTCCTTGGGTGTTTGATTCTCCCATATCCTGGGTTGAACTCCCACCACAGATCCCCAATATTCTGTTTCACATTTTAATAACTGCTCATTTATATCCGGTCATTGCACTATCATTTTTGCAATATTGCATAAGCAATGATTTATATAATGCTAAGTATGTTATGATTTGAAATAAGTAAAATGGATATGGTTCCTAGAATAATATCATGCCATTTACTTAACTCTGCTAAATGAAAACTTATAAAAGTGTCTGGGAAACGTATTCTAGAAAAGCATGCATTATTCATAGTATATACAGTTGCAAGAAAAAGTATGTGAACCCTTTGGAATGATATGGATTTCTGCACAAATTGGTCATAAAATGTGATCTGATCATCTAAGTCACAACAATAGACAATCATAGTCTGCTTAAACTAATAACACACAGAGAATGAAATGTTGCCATGTTTTTATTGAACACACCATGTAAACATTCACAGTGCAGGTGGAAAAAGTATGTGAATCCCTAGACTAATGACATCTCCAAGAGCTAATTGGAGTGAGATGTCAGCCAACTGGAGTCCAATCAATGAGATGAGATTGGAGGTGTTGGTTACAGCTGCCCTGCCCTATAAAAAACACACACCAGTTCTGGGTTTGCTTTTCACAAGAAGCATTGCCTGATGTGAATGATGCCTCGCACAAAAGAGCTCTCAGAAGACCTACGATTAAGAATTGTTGACTTGCATAAAGCTGGAAAGGGTTATAAAAGTATCTCCAAAAGCCTTGCTGTTCATCAGTCCACGGTAAGACAAATTGTCTATAAATGGAGAAAGTTCAGCACTGCTGCTACTCTCCCTAGGAGTGGCCGTCCTGTAAAGATGACTGCAAGAGCACAGCGCAGACTGCTCAATGAGGTGAAGAAGAATCCTAGAGTGTCAGCTAAAGACTTACAAAAGTCACTGGCAAATGCCAACATCCCTGTTAGCGAATCTACAATACGTAAAACACTAAACAAGAATGGATTTCATGGGAGGATACCACAGAGGAAGCCACTGCTGTCCAAACAAAACATTGCTGCACGTTTACAGTTTGCACAAGAGCACCTGGATGTTCCACAGCGGTACTGGCAAAATATTCTGTGGACAGATGAAACCAAAGTTGAGTTGTTTGGAAGAAACACACAACACTATGTGTGGCGAAAAAAAGGCACAACACACCAACATCAAAACCTCATCCCAACTGTGAAGTATGGTGGTGGGGGCATCATGGTTTGGGGCTGCTTTGCTGTGTCAGGGCCTGGACGGATTGCTATAATCGAAGGAAAAATGAATTCCCAAGTTTATCAAGACATTTTGCAGGAGAACTTAAGGCCATCTGTCTACCAGCTGAAGCTCAACAGAAGATGGGTGTTGCAACAGGACAATGACCCAAAGCATAGAAGTAAATCAACAACAGAATGGCTTAAACAGAAGAAAATACGCCTTCTGAAGTGGCCCAGTCAGAGTCCTGACCTCAAGCCGATTGAGATGCTGTGGCATGACCTCAAGAACCAGACATCCCAAGAATTCACACCAGACATCCCAAGAATATTGCTGAACTGAAACAGTTCTGTAAAGAGGAACGGTCAAGAATTACTCCTGACCGTTGTGCACGTCTGATCTGCAACTACAGGAAACGTTTGGTTGAAGTTATTGCTGCCAAAGGAGGTTCAACCAGTTATTAAATCCAAGGGTTCACATACTTTTCCACCTGCACTGTGAATGATTACATGGTGTGTTCAATAAAAAAATGGCAGCATTTCAATCTTTGTGTATTAGTTTAAGCAGACTGTGATTGTCTATTGTTGTGACTTAGATGATGATCAGATCACATTTTATGACCAATTTGTGCAGAAATCCATATCATTCCAAAGGGTTCACATACTTTTTCTTGCAACTGTATGTATATCTTTTTTCAAGTGTTTGTAAAATGCTCAAACATGTATGTGCTACTTGTGGATATACATTAACAAAGCATTTTATAATAAGCTATATATATATTTTATGAATTATTTTTATTATGTATTTTCACAGAAAATAGCTAATGGCAAAGAATATTTTATATACCCAATGCCAAAAAGCCTGTGTAAACCCTTAGCCCGTTAATTTGAAGATTTATTTATATCTAGAAAGGGAAACTGACCTTAAAGACTGGGCCTTTAATTGATGTAAATGTGCATAAAGCAAAAGCAATCAGAAGATATCAAAATTGGTGCTCTAAGTGTGCTAATGGGCCATTATCTGCCATCACAATCTGTTTTTCTGGATATCTTAACTGATGGTCCATAGTTGTCAGATTAATTTTCCTTATGTTGCCAATCTTTCCTCAACCTCTGTTTCATAGAGATACATTTTTTTGCCTAATAATTTCACAATTTCAGCAAGTGTTCAAAAATATTCCTCAAAGTGCTTCATTAATAGTAGGAGTTGGTGGGTCTATCTAATGTGTAACATGCTGCCCAACTGTAATGTTGAATAGGTGTGAATTATGAATAATGGGTGTCTTTAATCTACATGTATATGCTCATACAATGTACTTTAAAATGTAGAAAATAAAATAAACCTTTAAGACCAATTACAACTGGCATCACTGGAGCTCCTCGCTCTGCTCTCACCTTAAAAGATACTTAGCTTAGAGTCCAGTTCCTCACATTTATTTCTTTCCTTTAACCAAAGGGTGGTCAAGGTAGCTCTACTGCTAATATGGAACTGCATCTTCAGGTTTTTTTTGTTTTGTTTTTGTCATCCTGTGGGTGGCAAAGCATCATGGGATACATCATTCTTGAGCAGCTGTAGCAATTACCACCATTGCCAAAGCATCCATGTGCATTTTATTTTTAAAAAATGGGGAAGAAGGGGTGGTCTGACTGTGGAGCGACCTGGATGCATTTGAGTAGAGCTCCGCTCCAAACACGCTGTCAAGAGCTTAGATAAGCTATATTTCATTCTGCTACTCCGTGAATTATGGAGAAACCCTAAAAAACACCCTTACCTCGGTTCTGGACCTGCTTGCCAAAAAATCAGGATGTCGGAAGGCCAAGATGTCCTGCTTCCTAGCCGCCCTCGCCACGTGCCTCTTCTATCGTGGAGCCCTCACCAGGCGATACCTCGCAGATACTGGCCAAACTGGCTGAAATCCAGACCTACTTGGCAGGAGAAATTGAGAAATCGACAACAGTCTTACCGGCCGAAATATCCGCCCTTGGCACGGGAACCGCACGGCTGAAAGAACACCTTGAAAGTACCACCAGGGCGCATAATGATGTAGTCAGCCATCTAAATAGGCTTACCCCTTGCAAGGCCAAGACGGAATTGGCAATGGAAGATATCGCCAACCGACCACAGAGAAACCATCTCTGCCTGAGGGGCCTTACGGAAAAGGATGGTTGTGACGGAACGCTGGCACTCCGACTGAGTACCTCCGCCAATCGATGCTCCTAGTGCTCGCTGAGGACTCCAAGCACTCCAACCGACACCATCAGCACTGCAGACCCCACTTCCAGCAATGCAACTGCGCCGGGGTCTCTGCTGTTTCCACCCACCATGGACCCAAGGCCAGGATCCAGCTTCCAGTGGGTGAACCTCTCTTTCCCCAGAGAGCAGTAACAGGAACAAATCAAGCTATTGCAAGAGCTTCCTCTGGGGAGTAAGTGATTATAGCAATCCCCAGAGTGTAGGTATCCCTTCCCCCAAACATGAGCCAAGGCTTAATGCTGGAACAAGACTGATTTACTGGCACACAGAACTCACAATTTATGCAACACAAAACTCCTCCTCTGGGCCAGGCTAGATAATTGAGTTTCTACAATACACAAAGCTCAATTATCTGCTGGCCAGAAATTATACAGTTTCATAAAACACACAGGGACCCCAAAACATGCAATAACCCCATAAAATATATCCTTGGAACTGGGGGATCTGGGTGAACCACATATCCAAAATTCACCCAGATCCGTTCAGTACTTTGGAAAATACAGTTTAATGCAGATTCTGCAGAACATATACAGGCTAAATAAAAACAATCACTGTATAATGTGTCCCCTGCTGTATAGTCCAAAACCACCGCACGATGTCTCTGTGCAAATACTGGCGAGATGGCACCGTGTTGAAAAGTCCAAACAGTGTCTGTGAGTTAAAATGGCCGCCATCCATTGTTCTCACCATGTGCTTCTGATACATGAAATGGTGGCCACCCAGTAACTCCACAGTATGTCCCCAGATGGTTCTTAAAGGGCCAGCAGCAGCACAACACAAATCCATTATGCCCAAATCATGTCTTTAAAGGGCAATACATCCCAGGGGCCATAGTCACAGGGCAAGAGGCGGGCAAGCAGTCCTCTCCAGGCACAAGTGGCGAAGGGTACTTCGTCACAGTGGTGAGGGACCCTTTCAAGATATCCTGCTCGACATACTCAAACCGCTATTATCGGATATCCCAGAAAACCAGTGGCATATCGAGAGGGCGCATAGAGCTCTCCGTGCAAGGAGGCCCGACGCCAACTCTCCAAGGGATGTAGTAATTAGATTTTTACACTTTCAAATGAAAGAGGCCCTGCTTCGGAAGAGCAGAGAAGGACAAATCAAGTTTGAAGACGCTGAACTTACCCTATACCAGGACATGGCACCCAGCGCCACTGCTGGACTGGTCTTCGTTATGCCTGGGGCTTTCTTCCGAGACCTTGGCCTAACTCCCCCGCTCAATTTACTTACTGTTCCTGTAACATCGGAGGACCTGAGCTTCCTACCGAATGAATGGCATGAGGTTGGAGCACAGGGACACTGACCTCTCCAAAGGGTATGGTATGGCTGTAATTGGGAATGGGTACAAATACCCAGGGGACTATTTCACCAGTCAGAGCTCACAGTGGTTGGTACCGGGACTGTTTGGGTGGATGGGAGAACAGGAGTGGGCCCTCCACCGCGCATATTTTTGACACAGGGTTAATTGGGAGGCACATGCCGGCTAGCTAGAGGCCAATTGCCAAGAGGCATGCTCAGATGGCTCGGGGAATAGAGCTGTTGGGGGTGATATGATAAAGGCCTCTTGTTTACCACCCGGGAATGGCCACATGCAGCCCCAAACAGCTCCCTACTTGGCTGTGGACTCTTCCTTGGTGGACTGGGTGTTCTTACTTGGTGGACTGGGTGTCACTGGAGGCTCCCCTGAGCTCTATCATACCCGCAACAGGACACAGTTCTGGTATCATTTTGCATTCAACCCCTATGGGTCTCCTACGCTACAACTGCTGTAACCTCTTCTTTTTTTTTTTTTTTGCCTCACTGCTGCTCCCGCAGCAAATGAGGGAGCTTGTGGCCTTCCAACAGGAGACAGATAGGGGATCTCAGCAAAATAGTTTTTTCTTGTATATTGTTTATTGCGTATTTCAAGGTGCACTCTTACAATTTTTTTTTTTTCTTTTTAGGCCATTTTTGTATAACTATTAGTTACTTGCCTAACACCCTCTGTCTTGTTTAATGCTCCCTAACAGTAAAACACATACTGTAGATATGGCAGGCTCACCATTCCCTGCAACCAAATATTTATGTGATATATAAGTGTTGACTTATAGTGATATCAAAATTTATATTTCAAAATCTCTCCCGTGTACCACCCAGAAGGCCACAACTTGGCTAGCCTTACCCATCACCTGTTAAGAGGGGACCAGGAGTTGTAGAATGGTGGGTGATTGCCGCTGAACTGGTCTACTAGGACAGTTAAATCCCAGGAGGAAGCTATGGGTTAAAGAGGAGATTAATAGCTACTGTGATATTGCTATAACATAATCAATGGGAGTGGAACTTCCCCTAGTTCGCACATATGTTTGGGTATTCCCTCCCCCGACTAATAACATGCCCTCACAGCTGGCTGGGAAGTTGCTAGGATATGCTTAAGACTTCTCCACAAACGACATAGCATACTCTGAAAAAAATACTAAGGAATACCTTATACGTATTAGAAGGGACTTGTCCACTGACGCGGGTAATTTACCCTTACAAACTGGCTGAGTCATGGCACCCCACAAAATAGGCCCCCGATTCCTTTTCCGCTTCAGACTACTGAGGCCCTAGCCAACGACTGGTAGACCTCCTTTTGTTGCTTTATACTGGTAGCCCCTGTTTATGAGTTGCTTGACTCCTTAGACAAATGTCTGACACCTTTCTTCCCACCTCACTTACTTGAATCCTGGGACAACCTTAGACCAGTATTACATGCTACATCTCTGAGGCTATCGTTTCCCATTAGCTGAATAGGTGAAGGGGGTGATTAGAGCAGCCATCAGTGGAACCCATGCCTACAGAAGGCCTTCTGGTACCCACTGTTCCTACGCCCCATCTGTGTATACAATACTACCCCTCATTGTCAGCCGGAATGAGACAAGGCCGATATTCACTGGGATATTAATGCAGGTTCAATGCTTGTTAATAGTTTTACATGTTTACATTACTGTTGTTTTCTTCTCTCCTGATCTATGTATGATAATATCGCTACAGTAGCATGTATAAGCGCTATATAAAAGTACTACGGTAGCACCGCAGCGTGTACTGGTTTAGGCTCATGGACCCACATCCCTTGCGAGCGCTAGGTGCGGTGGAGGTGCCAGACCATGTACCCCAACTGGGTCTGGCGATTGGTAAGACCAGACGATTTCCACTCGTTTCCAGGTGCACGTCTAGTGTACCTCTTCACTTTCTTTTCTGTACTTTCTTTCCTATTTCCCTTTATCCACTGGGGTCAGGGCAAGCAGGAGGGGTTTGGCAATGCCTTGGGGGAGCAGAGGTGGTCGTACTCGATAGCATTATACTTAGAACGGGACAATGGCTATAAATTTTACCTCATGGAATATAAAGGGTCTTAATGCCCCGACCAAGCGATGCCTCCTATTCCGTGAATTGAAGAAGATGAAGTCAGATATTCATTCAAGAGACGCTTGCCTAAACATGTTGGCTTCAGATTAAGGGACCACGCATATGGCACAATTTACGAAGCTCGAGCACACTGCAAACGCAATGGGGTTGCCATTCTGATCCCGAATTGTTGCCCATTACGACTTACGTCTTCTGAACTAGATTCAGACGGGTGCTATATCACTGTATCTGGCACTTTGTTTTCCCACACAATTCACTTAATTATTGTCTATGTGCCAAATCAACCTGATCCTGTGTTCAACGCAGTGCCGTGCCCCACCGTAGACAGAAGGGTATACCTAGATCTCAATGGAGAGTAGGGCAGGAGAGGGCTTGTGGATGTGTGGAGGGCACATCATCCAAGTGACATTGATTATACTTTTTATTCAGCCCCACATGGCACTTACTCCAAAATAGACCTATTTTTGGATTAATGATTGTAGCTTAGCCCAAATCACAGGATCGTCGATTGGATCCATTGTATGGTTTGGTAATTCTGAGGTGACCCTTACCCTAGGGTACCTCTGGGTAGCATATCCATGGACATGGAAACTTAATACGTCCTTATTAAGAGACCGAGAGCTCACGGAGCAAATCCATACTGAAATAATGGAGTTTTTTTCATTCAAACAACACCCCTGACCTGAGGGTAGGTGCAATATGGGCAGCCCACAAGACGGTAGTGAAGGGTACTCTTATCAAGCTAGCAACCGCAAAAAAGAGAATTAAATGTCATAGGTTAGACAGACTCCTGACTGAACTTAGAACGTTAGAACAAACGCATCAACTTCGCCCTGAGGAAGGAACTCTACGACGTCTAGAAGCAGTACTGTACTTAATAAAAGAACTACTCCTACATGACACCGCTAAGTCTATAACTTGGTCCAAACTGACCTTTTACGAGAAAGCAAATAAAATGGACACCCTTCTTGCTAGGGCCCTTAAGCCCCGACAGACACGCTCTAATATCACTTCCATACGACATACTGATCTCTCTATCGGAATGTCTGCGGAAGGCGCATAGAACAACACTCACTAACAGCGGACCCAGAGAAACTTTATAACCATAATTACGTGCTCATGATAAAACTACTGATCCAGGGATATGGAAAAGTGGACTGATAAACCCGTATCGTGGATAGGATGGATTCACTCCGTTAAAATGAATATCTTGCCGAGAATCCTCTTTTTGTTCCAGACCCTACCTTTACATCTCACTAGGGCACAACTATTACCCTTACAACAAGAAATCGGGCTTTTCTTTGGCAGCATAAACGGCACAGGATATCAAGACATATCTTGTACCGACCGAAAACGCAAGGCGGACTTGGTTTACCTAACCTATATTTCTATTATTTAGCAGCTCAATTGACGCAAGTAGCGATGTGACCCTCTCCCCCAGGCGAGAGGAAATGGGTGGACTTATGTTGGGATTATACTTGCCTCAACTCATCATGTGGGTACCCAAAGAACATGATGACCCCTGATAGAGTTACTTGCCTGACGATATTCAATTCTCTGAGACTATGGGATTCATCCACACAAAGGTATGGATTCGTGTCAACCCCATCTCCCCTCATGCCTTATCTCCACAACAGGGCATATACCCCAGGTATGACGGTAGGGATTTCCAAAACCTAGAGCAGGCAGTCCTACAACAGATATGTCACCTATTCCAGGGCACGGACGTCATTACTTTTGATGACCTTAAACAAAGGAGGCATTTTACGCCTTCTGACTTTTTTTTTTTAGATATCTGCAGATTAGGGATTTCGCTAAATAATCCCACATCAAAGAAGCGGCACATAAAACAATGACGTTCTTTAGGCATAATTTCAGTTATGCATAGACATTAAAGACCTGATAACGCTTCTTTACGCCTACCTCTGCTCGGAGACTGGGGAATGGGGTAGACTAACATAAACAGACCAATGGGAACAATATTTAGGCGAGGAACTGGAGAGCATTGAATAGAGATATGGGAGGCTAGTACCACCACCTCTATCTGTGTAACCCTTCAGGAGCAATACTTTAAAACGATGTTCCGCTGGTATACAACTCCTGTAAAACTATATAGAATGAAAAAATCCCCCACGGATGTGTGTTGGAGGGGATGCGATTCGAAAGGGACATACATACATACATACATACATACATACGTGATGGGAGTGCCCATTGATGATCCAATTCTAGAATTTAATTAAGGATTTGTTAATCCAAGTGTTCTCAAGAGCCCCAGACCTAGACCCTTGTATATATCTGTTAAATAGATCTACTGAAGGGTGGACCTGGAACAAACAAAAACGTATTCTTTTAGCTTTTGCCTGGCTAAAACAGGGTATCCCCAACATTACTGGGGTGATAAACAGGATTAGAGAGATGACCTGACGGCTAGGGTGAGAGGGGCCACTAAGGCATTTCAGAAGGACTGGGAACCATGGGAAAACTTTTGGAAATTAATTATTACAAACGATGTGAAAAGTTTCAAATGCAGGGAGGATCCTGGTTTCTGCTGACACTAGCTTTCTAATGACCTCTCTCCCTTTCCTTTCCCCTCCCAAACCCATACATGGGGCTCACATAAAATGATGGACCTTGAACCCGTACACCCCCCACCTTACCCTCCTCACTCTATACTTTCTTAAACGCTCTCTATTCTCTTTACTTCTCTTTCTCTCCCCTATGTCTTGGGGGATATTTACTACCAAAAATTGTGATTGATAACTTTCAAACTTCATATTTAATGGTTGATGCGATGCACCCTACTGGTACTCCATGTGTTTTATCATAGGTCAATTGCCTTACTTTATGTGAAAGTAAGACGCTATACCATCCCTGTCATAGTTTATTGCATGTAAATCATAAATAATTTAATTTAAAAAATTGGTAATTTTTTGTATTTTGCTCTACTTACAGCAGGATATTACTTGCTTCCATAATACGCTTGCATTTAAATGCTCCTTTGGAAAGCACATTTTGTGCATTAAATAAATGTAATGCTCTGGAGCAGATGCTTTCTTAATGCTATTAACAAAAACATAAATTATTTTTAATGGTACTTCCTTTATAGTGCAGTCAAATAGGTTGTATACTTCATGTACAACATCTCTGCTAGTCCTGCTTTTTATTTTGTATAAAGAAAACAGATGTGCAAACTACATTGTTGTAAGTATTGCCAGCCTCTGGTAAGGAAATATTCTAAATACTGGACTTTTCTGGCAGGCTGTATGCTGTTCTTGTATGCATTTATAAGTAGCATCAGTCAACCTCTCTATAATCTGTTGAAATCAGAGCATACTTTGTTTCTGTACTTCTACTTTCTGAATCTTCATGAACACTGAGCCTAAATGGTATCATGTGCTACTTGTCGTGTCTAATAGTTAGATGCTCAAACTACTAGAACAACCTAGCACAATTTATTGTACAAAGAGTTTCTCCTTTTCCCTATAATTACAGCATAAACACGAACATTCAGCTATAATAATATAGCTATAATCCCACTCACTCGGCCACAGATATCAAAGACTACAATAAGTAATAAATAGACTAACTGATCATTTACAAATACTTGTATAACATTACAGCTATGCTTCTTTAATATATCCTCCTACCACTCCAAATAAATCAAATCAACTAAATTGCAATGACACACATGAATAAAGAATAATTGTGTAAGCCAGTATAATCATGACCACCACCTGTAGTACATGGCTACATTTTTGATAGTGGATTTATTGAATAACTTAAATGTATTTTTCTGTGTATAAGAGAAAAAATGTTTACAATCTTGATTAAAGTGAGCTTATCTTTCAATGCCTGCTGGTTTTATCCCACTGATAACATACTGTGATGCAAAAATAAATGCATGTTTAAAAGATTTGTTCTAGTTTGGCTATTTTGATCTGAAATGTTCTTGTCATTTCACCATAATTCCAAGTTTAGTAAATTAACTCACGTTTTAAGCATTGATCTAGGGTAAAGTGATTTTTTTTTTCCATGATACAATGTGTTTTTAATTTAGTGGGGGGCGGGGGTTTTAAATTTTTTTTTTTAAAGTCTGTTAACACCTTAAGGACACAGCTTCAAAAGCTTGTCTTATCCTTAAGGACACAAAAGGCCATTTTTGCATTTTTTGCTGTTTATGTTCAAACGCAGTTTGTTAAAAAACCTTTGTTTTCACAGTTTTGGCAATAATAGCATGAGCATAATATGTCCATCTTATGAAAAATAATTGAGAATAAATTAATTTATGTGTCTTGATTTATAGACTACATAATATGTGTAGGATTTCAGCTTTTTTTGAAAGTTACAGGACACAAAATACAAGGACTAAAATTAAATTTCAATGTGAAACAATATTAGAAGTTGGTATGTTTGTCTTCATCATAAAAGGCTTTATCAATGGAGTAAAAGACAGTCAACCTGGCAAGTTGAAGTTTGTATAAGCATAAAATCAATTAAAACTGGCGCCATAATCCTATATCTAATAGGAGAGCAGAGAGTGTGGTAACATAAATAACAGCAAAACACATATAGACCTTAGAAGATATAATAATGGAGGATCAGATTATGTATAACATTTTTTTTAAAAGAGCATTTTTAAGAGTATAAACTGCTTTGGCCGCCAGAACATGTTGTGCGCCTCAGCGTGTCATAGTGATCGGGACGCTATGTATTATGGGGTCTGTAGTTCTAAGAGACTAAGTATCATGTTGGCAGATATTTGCCGACGCAAGGGAGAGCCCCACATTGAAGGGAGTGCTCCTATGGGATATATGATAATGGAAGAGGAGGGTGGAGGGAAAAACTTATAAATTAGAAAGATTATTGTAAATAAAGAACCGTTGCGGCAGCCATCTTGGTGGGGGAAGTAATGAATAGGGTATATTACACGAACATGGCAGCCATTTTGGGGGTGGCTGGCAATAAAAGAAAGATTTAAAAAAAAAAAAAACCACAATGATGGGGGCGGGGCCGGACCGCCGAAGGGATCCGTCTGCTCCGTCTGAGCTCCCGCTTTGGGGCCGGAAAAAACGGCGCAAACTGAAGGCTAAACACTCCCAGCCACCCGCAACGATGACCAAACCAATCCCCAGTTTCTGGGGTATGAGGGGACACCCCCCAAGACTCTACTCGGCACCTACAGTAACCCGATGAAGGCCTGAGGCGTGCAGGAGCTTGAGCTCTCCTGGGTCTCCGTCCAGTGTCTGGCACCCTCCCCCCCCTGTACCGGGGGGGTTATCCCAGTCTGCACAAGCAACGACCATGACGCTAAGCTGAGCCGAATACTAACACCCTGCTGCGGAACACTCTCCGGCGGCAACCCCCAAGATGGCCGCCGCACACCAGCTCCATGTGCGACCTGCCAGCAAGAAGGAGCCTGCCACAGAGGAAACCATCCACCGCCATCTGACTACCACAGCTACTCACCCCAGGGATGTGTCGGCTGCCCACACTGAACTGACCTAGGGGATGCTAGCAATACACACCTCCAGTGGAAACACACACTTTGGTGTCTCTGGAGGACACCATCATTCCTTCTGGGGCCCGCCCGGGAGACGACAGCAGTGGCTGCATCCAGGATCCTCCTGTGAGGCGCAACGCATCCATCAGAGCAAGCAGCCTGCCAGCACTGGGTATGGACTAAACAAATCCACGCAGGTCCTCTACTGCACAGTCCAATTTGAGTGAGTTACAAGATTGTGATGCAACTTACCATATACAAGGACTCTAAGAACTCTGCCATAACCTTGAACACTCAGGACTTTATGAGACCCCATACATAGGACTGACTCAGTAGCTACCGGGTACAACATAATCCCATTGTGAAAATATTATTCTCATGACCTCTGCTACCCTGGCTAAACTCCTCTCTGCCTCCCAAAAGGCACCACTTATAACACAGATCCCAGCAGGCTCAGATGGCATCTCCTTGTTTAAATTTCATGCTCAGTACTATATATGTTTGTTTAACCTTAGTTAGATGTGGATAGTATAGCAAAAAGCCAATAGGTACTGCCATAGAAATATATAATGTATGTCGAGCGTGTGGCTGACATTTAAACATGGCTCACGACCCTTAATTCGCATTTAACCCTCTATAAGCTACCCTTAACTCTTACTAACGAAACACTTATCAGCCTTGTAACCACTAACTTGTTCCATATTATGACCTTTAAAACAAAAATGTACAACATTTCTAACACGTAACTAGCATATTTTACTATAAGCTTCTGCGTACCCAACTATATCATTCCAATGCCTAACTAAGCGGGTTCATTCTAACTTAACAACTTTGTCTTTTTCATGTCATTTAAAAAAAAAATGTGCCGTTTACACTGCCACACATTGTACAGCTATGAAAACGCCTGCAGTTGCTGTCGTGGCTCTGCATGATGATTGTTATTTGACGCACAAATAAAATAAAGAATTTAAAAAAACAAAACACAATGATGTTTAAAGATGACAGAAAGTAGTTAAATATTATAAATAGGGGAGAAATAATAGAAATGCATGTTAGGATGAAATACAGGGGACAACATACCTTTTCTAATATTGAAATAAAGATAAAATAAAGGATATTGGGTTATGCAATCATTGGGTGAGAAACATAATTTATAGACAGAGAGGGTGGTATCATTGGAAATTAGGACATATAACATAAAATACAACTGAGAAAAGATTGCATAGGTTAAATAACATTTAAACAGATCGAAGTCTGTGTTGAGACCATTTGAAATTTGAACCTTAGTGTGGGATCATTTTTCCACTAGCTTGTACCAAGTGGTAATAAGCGTTTTTTCTGCTTATTGCACAGTATATTTTGCAAACCTTATGTGTGCTACGGCTGTATAATACTTCATATGTTTCTCAGCTATGTCGTCTGTGTACCGCAATACCCCCGTATGTACCTTTGCCAGATATATGTGATTATTGAAGGGGCGCATTTGAGACACAGCTATTCCAATTTTTTTCAAACTTTGAATTTTTACACTGTGTCCATGTCCCATTTTGGAGTAGTTTAGAAGGTTTGTTATTCAAACTACTCCACAAAAACAACCTGGGGTATTTCAAAAGGCATGAAAAAAACTAAAATAAAAAAAATTAAAAACAGATGACCGTAAAATGTAGTCCCTGCCACTTGATCACTGAAGTTAATTTTATTAAAGGTGGTAAGGTGGATATTTAACCTTAAACTTTATGTATTTTTTGCAGGGAGAAGATCGCTGCTGATCCGTCTCCCTGCACTTCACACTGACCGCGGAAGCACAGGGAGGCAGATAAGAAGTCCCTGCAGCACATATGCTCACTCTAACAGGCAGACCGGAGGAGCGTTAACTCCGTGATCGTGACGATCTGGGGTTGACTTTAGTAAATGACAGAAATTTTTAATCAAGGGTCCTTAACGCAAGGACAAGCCTGACGGAAAATGTCCGTCTTTGGTCGGGAATGGGTTAAATTAATTAAAGCTATTCTTTTTTTTTTGTTTTTTTTTTTTTTTATTCCTGTTTTCACGTCACTTTGAACACAGATATGTTTCTGTTAAAATCTTCGTGAAATAACCAATAGTCTAATTAATCTAAACCTGCTGTGCAAGTAATGTGTTGTGTTATTGAACAAAAGTCATTATTAAAGTGCAGAAGCTAATTGCGTGACGGCCAAATGTTTAGTTGAAATCCCTCTCTTTATAAAGAAATAGTTTATTTGCTCTTCTCGTAGTGATTAAACATTGCTCGAGGTTATGGTTGTGTGCACAAATGTACTGCTTAATTTATAAACAGCAGTTGTTTCATGTTCTCTGTCACACTTTCAAAGAGATGGGACTTAAAACCATCAAAACCAAGTTGTTTTTTGTCGTTTGTTTTGTTTTATTTTTGTTACGGAAATATTCCCCTAAAGGAAGAAGTCTTATTTTTTTTTTTTTAAAGCATTAAAATGTTTACATGTTTTCTACATAAGTTAACTTAATGTGCTTATGTTTTCTTTATTACAGGTGGCTCTCCTTATATGGCTATGAAAATAAATGAGGCAAAGGATTTATTGGAATCTGGCAACAAGCAATGATCTAAAATATGTGAACTTACATAATTCCCCTAATATTCTATTTTGGTAGTTTTTTTACAATTATGTATTTGTGGTCCTTAACTTATCATTTGGCTTTAAATGTTATTTTAGTCTAAACTAAAAAAATATATATAAATATATATCAACATATATGTTAACGGTTCATCAGCTTTTAAAATGGATCTGTCAATTACGTATTCTCTACAAGAATATAACGTTTCACATCTCTGCATGGAATTAAATACTATAGGGAAAGATTTTTAGATATAATTCTTTGATACAACTTATTGCGACAGTTATGATACAAAGAGTCTTTTTGTGTGCAGCTCCTACACTTATTTTGTCCGATTATTGGAGCCATCGAGCAAAAACCAAGGGGTGTTCCAGCAATCTTTGCAGCCAAACCTATAATAAGAATTTTTACTTCCTTTTTATCCATGAATATTTTGCATTATAGCCAATCATTTTTATTCACCTTTGAAGACAAAACTGTAGGGACTGCCTTAAAGACTCTTTACACCATAACTACTTCAGTAGGCTGTTGTGGTTAGTGTCTCTTTCACCTTCAGATTCTGAGTTATGGTTCTATTCTCGCACTATGAGAATATAGATGGTGCATGGAGAATCCCCCAAAATGTGTAATATTAGTAAGAGGTTTTTTTTTGTGTATGCGTTAATATTCATTAAGCAGCTATTGAGGGCATATTAAAACGAAAAGTAAAATAAAAAACACACACAATGCTGGTACATTTATTGACAGTCCAGCACCAGAAAGTCATATCATGAAGTATTACTTTACTGAGAGGGTAGTGGATGCATGGAATAGCCTTCCAGCTGAAGTGGTAGAGGTTAACACAGTAAAGGAGTTTAAGCATGCGTGGGATAGGCATAAGGCTATCCTAACTATAAGATAAGGCCAGGGACTAATGAAAGTATTTAGAAAATTGGGCAGACTAGATGGGCCAAATGGTTCTTATCTGCCGTCACATTCTATATTTCTATGTTTCTATGTCTCTGTCAAGCAGATGTTTCTCCCACTATAAGATTATCCTCTATAAGAAGCATTAGACACCCAGTGGACATGTGTGGTGGTTGGAGTGCTCAACAACTCGTAGAAAGAAATCCAGTGTTTCTCTATAAAGCATTGCAATGCAGAACTTGAAGGCGTTCAATTATTGAATGTCACCATGAAGAAGTGATTTTACCACTACTAAAGGTATCCTTATTGACAAATCTAAACATTGTCGGTTTTCATGACTGGTAATGTTTACATTTGTCTGACTGCAGAGACTTGGTCAATGCACCAAATGACTACATTAAGAGTTAAAGGGGTGGGCCCTCTAAGCACCATATCTACAGCTTATTGTAGTGAATATGGTGCAGAGTATGTGTGTGCCATTCCTTCAGTTTGTGTCAAGACCTTTTTAATAGTGTAACAAAAATCATGTCTCTACTGGCACTGCAGCTCGTGACCAAAGTTGGACTGGCTTATTCGGATGTATATCCTTTTAAAAAAGATAAATAGGTAAAATAAACCAGTACAACAAATGCTAATTATTACTGACAAGTGGTATGTAAGCATCAAGATTGTCCCATCTTTTGTGCTGTGCCATTCCCAGAATGCTTTGTGCCTCTATCTGACTGGAAGCTTATTATGTATTTTAAGGCAATATCTAGCATAGTTAATAGCTGTTGCAGACTGTCCAGGAAATGTGGACATTCTGGTGTAGTGTAATATATATCACAGCAGGTTCACTGAATCTATATAAATATTGTTATGCATATCAAATTATTTTTCTTTTTTTTTTTTTTTTTTTCTCTCTCTTTTTTTTGGGGGGGAGGGGGTTAAGTCTGATTTTAACAACCACAATATGTAATTGTAAAAAATCAATATGTTTTTTATAGAGAATCAATTTAGGATTTCTACCATATTATCATAAAAATGATTGTTATTAGATTCCAGGTCAGCTTAGTCGATTCTGCAGGCACGATCATCCTGACCTCTGACCTGCATTTCCTGTGTATATTTAATACAGAAAACCACGTGCACTTAATCTCAGTTTGACATCTCTCATACCCAAAAATGGACTCTAGGGACATCAAAGGTATTGCACATAGATGGTCCGTTTCAAATCTCTAAATTAAATGGTTTTGTCAATCATTCACTCACCCTAAATTACATTTAATCGTATTGGCTAGTAAAATACCAGATTTATAACTGTGGTGATCCAATTCAGACCAAGTGGAGAACAGGGTTATGTTTATTACAATAATTGCTGCTCTGTGATAATGTATTTTTCCACTAGTCTGGTCTTTTTTTTTTTTTTGAAGATTGTGTTAAATTAGTTGGTAGAAATTCTGTTTACATTCCTGAAGGCTTGACATACAGTGATTAAATTAAGCTTAATAAAATTCACTTGTTTGGTTGACTTAATGAATTTGCATGTGAGATGGATGTATATTGGATTTTTATGTATGGCTTAGAATCAGGATGTATCCAGATTTAGAATTTTTTTTTCTACGGTTTATTACTGTGCATAGCAAATACATTTTGCAGTAACCTTGGCAGACTCACAAAAACAGCAGACAAAGCAGGAGCTATGGATGCCTCATCACACTTTATGCCTGGATCCCAGCTGTTCTAATAAGGGCTATCAGCCCACTTCACAATCATCTCTCATTTTGGACTGTTTTCAGTCTGTGGATTCAGAGCACGTCTATAGCATGCAGTGGGAAAAAGCATCTAATGTCATACTTGCTGCCAGTTTGTTCTTTCATTCTGCATTCAAAAGCTACCCAGTGACTAGATATATAAGAGTATTAAGCAGCCAAAACACAAATGCAATATGAATATGAGTAGAGTTAATACTAGTTTTATTTAAAATTGCAGCCGTTGCTTTGCGCAGAAATGATATGTAAATCTGATGTATAGTGCATTTTATAGGGTTCATCAAAAACCTCCTGATTTTAATTAAATGTTGCTTAATGCATCAATCAATAGGAGTATGCAAAAGACCATGGAATGCCACTGCTCTGAATAGTCAGCACTGACTGTGATTTGAGAGATTCATAACATTCTAGAACAAATCAAAGAACAGTCCTGCTGTGTTAATGGAATATGTTTGGAGACATACAATACCTTTTTAGGTTGTTTAGATGTCAGATCAATTAAGCATTTGATAAATTGTTTATCTAAATGTATATAGGTTTCAGTGGGGTGTCTTTGTAGAAGAGCTACATCACTATTTTTCTGCATCTATATTAAAGGGACACTATAGTCACCTGAACAACTTTAGCTTAACGAAGCAGTTTTGGTGTATAGAACATGCCCCTGCAGCCTCACTGCTCAATCCTCTGCCATTTAGGAGTTAAATCCCTTTGTTTATGAACCCTAGTCACACCTCCCTGCATGTGACTTGCACAGCCTTCCATAAACACTTCCTGTAAAGAGAGCCCTATTTAGGCTTTCTTTATTGCAAGTTCTGTTTAATTAAGATTTTCTTATCCCCTGCTATGTTAATAGCTTGCTAGACCCTGCAAGAGCCTCCTGTATGTGATTAAAGTTCAATTTAGAGATTGAGATACAATTATTTAAGGTAAATTACATCTGTTTGAAAGTGAAACCAGTTTTTTTTTCATGCAGGCTCTGTCAATCATAGCCAGGGGAGGTGTGGCTAGGGCTGCATAAACAGAAACAAAGTGATTTAACTCCTAAATGACAGTGAATTGAGCAGTGAAATTGCAGGGGAATGATCTATATACTAAAACTGCTTTATTTAGCTAAAGTAATTTAGGTGACTATAGTGTTCCTTTATTATTTAATCTTTTCGTTCTTAGTAACCTTTTTTTTTTTCTTATGTTTCTTCCAATAATCTAATTAGAAACAAAATTGGTAACAAATAATGTGCAATAAATAGATGGCTGCTAATTGAGACATTCATCCAATTCAATTTGAAATGTTACATCATTATATCAGATATCAGTGCATACCAACAAGAAAAAATTGTTTTTTTTTTTTTTTGGAGGTTTTGGAGGAGGGGTTTGACGGGGGTTAATAGAGAAATAGATTTTTCTTTTTCTTCTTCTTAAATTGTGTATACATTGTGGCTATACTGTGCATCTGTATAGATAGGAACCACTTTTATCATCCGAATGGCATGTATTCTTCAGGTCAGGTATAACAAAGTAACAGAAATTTGGTCCATGGCGCTTGATAGTGTAATGGAGTTTACTGTTTCTGCCACAAATTCATGTTGTTCATCTTCTGTTTCACAAATCCCTGAAATACTGGACTATTTACAATGTTGGAATTAAATGGACACTGTAGTTACTACAGCCATTTCATCCCATTGAATTGGTCATAGTGCCTGGAGTCCTCTGGCATTATCCAGTCATTCAGCATTGAACAATTGTCAAGCAGTTTAACACAAACATTAAAAAGGCGTCCTGGCCATCCACTACTAGTGTTGTGGCTAAAGCAAGGATAACACACTTCATGCTAACCATACCAACTTACACCAGCTGTCAGCTGAATGTGGCCAGCTGACACTCAGTCAATAACAGTCGGCAATCGCTGCTTAACCCCTTAAGGACCAAACTTCTGTAATAAAATGGAATTATGACATGTCAGACATGTCGTGTGTCCTTAAGGGGTTAAGCTAATGCGTCATCATTAGCCCAAGCAGCACAAAGGAACTAAACTGCTGAGGACTCTTAATTAAAATTGGTTTAAAGTACACCTTGGTATCTCTATTATATATTTTTTTGCTGGTTTTCACCCTGGTATGTATTTTCATTTTTCCACTGAAAGGTAGTGTGCCAAACTTATTTATAAATTATATATATATTTATATATTTGAAATTCTATGTGTATATGCGTTCTTTTTACATAATTATGTGATTCCATTATGGCGGAGACTGCGTGTTCCTGCATTCATCCGAGTGAGGGGTCCGGAGCGCAGCAACAGCTAAATTGCCTCCGCAAAGAATTCTGCCAAGGATTGCAGTGCCAGTACCTCCAGCCTACCCTACTAGCCTTACCGCACTGCTCATCTGCACGGTGACTCAGCAGTCCCAAGAAACCATGCATGGCCGCAGACCCCAAGATGACCTGTCTCAAGAGACGCAGACCGTGCAGACGGCAACCAGGGAAAGCAGCGCATAAGTCTATGCACCAGTGCCGACCGAGACAGAGGTCTCCTGGGAGGTCTACAGCAGGAAAACCACAAAGGGTCGAACATACCATCCAGGTACTCACTGACTCCCGGTCCGCTGAACTGCACCATAGTAAGGGGCTGCGTTTTGCCTGTGGCAGGCATACGCTTAAAGTCACACAAGACTTTGCTTCGTGTGTCCCCCCTTCCCCCGGCCTAATTTCCAGCTGAAGCAACACATTTAATCAACTCCTTTTCATTTATGATTTTATGTGCAAACTTTGTTTTACTTTTATTTTGTGGTGATCTGGACTCTCCTATCTCTCTCTCCTACTGCCCTATTTGGTGGAACACAGCATGTTTTCTCTTGTTATATATATCTTTAAAAAAAAAGTGCAAAGTTATTAGATGCCATACAAATGTGTCTATGTGTTTACTACAAAACTTGCTAACTGTTGTGCCACTGCAAGCCTGTTTGTACCTTCCATGCACAACTAAAATAAAAAACCTGTGTCACGAACGCACCCTACTTCAAGAGTGTGCGTGATACAGTTGTGGTGTTGAAAGGGTTAAAGTTCACTATTTCTCTGTACCAGACCGGAAATAATGACAAATTCAATTCCGTCCCCAAGCGAGTACACAGACATTTCAGTAGCATTGGATATATACCCTGCTCTAGAGGTGGAGTTAAGGCGTATCTATAGAGATGAGTGACCACCCACTTGTGTTCCAGACCAACATCAATCAAAATGGAAACATTTGATTCTATCTTCTCTTATGTACCTGCCACAGACATAATCATTGCATCTGCGAATTTATTATTTTTCCATTCTATAAATAGTCGCACACCTTACTTGTGTCCCAATATGGCCAACATCACAATTCCTTCCTCTTTGGTTGTTTTGCCAATCATGTTTGGGCTTGTTTAGAAGATGGTGCTTGTCACATTCCAAATATAACAAAAATGAGGCTTAATTATTATTCTGTGGGTAAATATAAATGTTTTTTTTCCTTTTGGATATGATACTGGAACAAGGCTAATGGCCATTAACATATCAAAGAGATTGACCCGTCAATTAAGAAATACATGCCATATGGCTAAGCCAGACATTCAGGCTTTTCCAGTGTAGAATCTCACACCTTGCAGAGCCTTAGAGTAATCACAGGATCCATTCATAGAATAAAACCCTTGTATCATACCTATGCAATTTACATTACCAATTAGGTCACCTGATTTTCAATCAAACAAAATAACCCCTTTTCACCTTGACAATGTTCCATCTCTACCAAGCAAGCAGATTATCTACGCACTACACAAATTACATTAAAGGACAATATTCCATAGTGCAATAATGAGTTAAGTATCCTTGCTGTGAGAACCTGTACATGGGGGTACTGTTGTACTTGTGAGACCTCGCTGAACACAAATATGAGTGTTTTAAATTCAAATCTAACCGTATTATGACATTCACAGTTAGTGCCATGCAGAACTTAAAAAATATAAAAATGTCTTAATTTCTCAAACTTTTTAACATTTTATTCATATTAAATTATTTCATATATAAATATTTGATGTGAAATTAAAGCTCCTTTTCTCCTGAACACAATGTTTTATAATACGTGTGGGTGCACTCAGTAAGAAAGAGGTAAATTATGGTTGAACACACACATAGCTCGAATTCTAGGTTTTGTTATGATTAGAACTTGTTCAATTGCCTCTGTCCGTAAGAGGTTAAAGATATCTAAAATTTGGCCATTTAGAATAGAGTGCACTTATGGAGGAACTGTCACTTCTCTGAAAGTGACATTTTCCCATTTCCTCACCCCTGTAAATGTGATTGAAGTGTTTACTGTGGGGTGAGTAGTTCAACAGCGTTAAGAACAATAACAACGTATGTTTAACTCTGCAGAACTTCTGTGTTCAGAATGACCTCACCACCCCATGATGTACTGGCTTTGTTCTTGCATGTTTGGTCACCTGATAAAAAATACTGTACAAGTGTACTCTCCATCATTCCTTCCTTAGTGCCTTAAAGGCAAATATAATGCTTAGTGGGGGTTAAATGAATTCATATGGCATGTTTTTGCTGTGACATGTCACCCAAGTATGCAATGTAAATTGTAAAAAAATTAAATAAAAACAACCTAAGTAACCGTTCTGGTTTAAATCATTTGACATCATCTGCAAATATGGACATACTTTGATATCCCTAGCAAAATTGAGGAGCAGATTAAAGAAAAGTGGACACAATAAAGAACCTTGAGCTACTTCATTTACCACCTTTATTCACCTTGAGTTTTATATTAAAGGGACACTATAGTCACCAGAACAACTACAGCTTATTGAATTTGTTCTGGTGAGTAGAATAATTACCTTCAGGCTTTTTGCTGTAAACACTGTCTATTCAGAGAAAATGCAGTGTTTACATTACAGCCTAGTGATAACTTCACTGGCCACTCCTTAGATGGCTGTTAGAGATCCTTCCTGGGTCATGACTGCCTAAAATGCATCCAAACATTCAGTGTCTCCTCCTTCTGCATGCAGACACTGAATTTTCCTTATATAGATTCATTGATTTAATTAATCTCTATGAGGAGATGCTGATTGGCCAGGGCTGTGTTGGAATTGTGCTGGCTCTGCCCCTGATCTGCCTCTTTGTCAGTCTCAGCCAATCCTATGGGGAAGCCCTGTGATTGTATCAGGCTACCACTTCTACGGATGTCAGCAGGCAGTGGGCAGGTCTACAGGAAACAGGGACAAAGCCCTAAGTGGACATACTTTGACTACAATTAAGATTTTACTATTTTTAGGGAGGCAAGAGAGGACCAGGGTGGCTAGATGGTGGTTTTAATCCTATAGGGTCAGGAATAAATGTTTTTGTTCCTAACCCTATAGTGCTCCTTTAACTACTCTCAGCACTCTGTCTTTAATTCAGTTTTCATTTATGCATCTTCCATTGATTGTTTTCATACAGTAGCTAATTGTGAAAAAAAATGTTTGAAATTTCTATGACTTATGCATAGACTTCTACTGCAGAGTTGAATAGGATATTTGTTCAAAGGACACCTTGTTATTTAATGATTTGGTTGTACTTGTGAATGTTAGGCTATTAACGCTGACTAAACCTGACGGTCTCTTCTAAATGCTTGAAATGTGGGGAGGAGGAAGTTTTATTGTTTTTAGCATTGTAAGATAAGGGAGTTTTGGGAAGAAAAATAAACTAGCTTAGATGTTTTAATTGGATTGGAATGAGGCCACACAATCTAATGAGCATAGGGTTTGCACTTTTTTTTTTTTTTAATATTAGGAGCCATATGTTTAGACTCAGGACTCACAACAAAAGACCCTAATTTATGGAACTTTCTAATTTACCACCTGGTATTCTTTGCTGGTCCTTTGTTGAAGGCTTCCACTTATTTGACTTGTTTTGACCCTGGAACCGAACATGACTTTTATAAAATACATAATTTAAATTTTTATTATTACATTTTTGTATTTTTTTTATTTGGCTTTCTGAGCGTTAATACAGGCTGGAGTGATCAATATTGTATTCTCAACACGCAACGTATCTGTGCTTTGTTTAAACAGACTGTGCAAAAAAGGAATTTTAAACATTAGTTCTCTCTTTATAAGAAATGTGGAGGGAGTCTGTTAGTCACATGTAGGGAGGCGTGGCTAGGGCTGCATAATCAAAGTAATTTAACTCCTAAATGGGAAAGAATTGATCTATACACCAAAACTGCTTCATAAAGCTAAAGTTGTTTGGGTGCCTATAGAGTCACCTTATGAGAGGAAAGCTGCTTTTGCCTTCTAGTGATGATGATTACTGCAAATATAGTACACATTTTTTAAGACAAGTATGAGTATATTTTTAAAATAAATGTAGCAAATTACTTTTAATAAGAAATTTTACTCTTTTGATCTATACAGTTTCTCTATATTGATACAAATTCCTGGGAGAAGCTGGCTATCTTACAAAAGGTCTGAGCAGGTTTCCTTATGATATATGGATTTTATATATGTGGAGTGTCCAGACTGCCTACAATACATTTTAAAATGATAAACTGATCTTGGAGAATTCCTTCTCATGGTTTACTAGAGTGAGATTAGTTAAGGATAACTGCTTCAAGATTTTAGGTAGGTACTATATCCACTCTTCCATATTAGCCAAAATGACGCCAGGAATGGTTTTGTCTTGTTTAGGCGAATGTTGGGAGGAGGGTACTACCTGCACGGTTGGTGGACTTGTCCTTTGATGAGACCTTTGTGAGAGGGACGGTTTTGGAAATTGACTAAGTTCCTTGTGTTTGAGACCAGAACCATGAGTTAATCTCTTAAACTGTGATTGCAATCTGATTTCTACTCTTAGATGTGTAGATCCACTTATTTTTTATGATCTTTGGGGCTTTGCATATGATCATAGTGAA